GTCTGTTTTTTATATTTCTTCTATAATAACTTCGATAGAATTGATTAGAATAGATTCAATTTATTCTTTTAGATTTCTTTTAGATTAAGAATACAACAAAAACAAATCAAGACGAGGTATTGAAAACACCCTTTTAAATATTTGCCTTCGAAATCCGTAGCGGGCACAATAAAACACCTAACACATAGCACGTACAAAGCTAATGACACTTCATTATCTATTCATCACGCATTGTTATAGTGTATGGGGATGGTTCTCAAAGTTTTGGGGTGATATATTATCCTTTTTTTTTAATTTTCTCTCCAAATGTAATAGTTGTTGATTGGTAATCTCAAAATATACATACTCTTTTGATGTCAACTCTGACCTGTTTGATTTGTGTTATGTTTGAATTATTTTAAATTTGGAATGTTAGTTTTATTTGTTCGGACTGAATTGTGTCATATTTGATTGATTCCGTAAAAATGACTTAAAGAAGTAACATGTCTAGCTATCTGACGTAACTAATGTATTTTACATAAATTTCATAATGATTGTTCCATCTATACAGATAAATAAAATTGGAGTGTCTGTTTGTAATGTTAAAATAACCGCTTTATACTAAATGCATATGGATGTATACACGGTACATATACCAAAATAACATTTACATTTTTTACAATTTTTGTCCTTCTGTCTGTCCGTTTTTTCCGGCTAATCTCTGAAAAGGCTGGACCGATTTCGCCGGGACTTTCACTGACAGTTAGCTGATGTAATAAGGAGTAACTTAGGCTACTTTTATTTTAGATTTTTTTTTATTTTAAATTCCACGCGGACGAAGTCGCGGGCACAGCTAGTCTAAAATAAATTCAAAAATGTTTAAGTTAAAATAAACAGTTTTCTTATCAGTCCTTAAGTGTCATTTTGGCTTGAAAGTGATCCCATTAGCCACATCTACCATTCAAGAATAGTAAATAGCGAACATTGTTGTTATGTTTGCTGCTAGTTATAGCATGTTTCTTTTTATGAGAGAAGGTGGCATACGAGCTGGCGGTTCAGATTTTAAAGGATCCGCCACCCATTGACATTTGCAACAACCGCAGGGTTTCACATGCGTTACCATCTTATTATGAAGTGGGCCTCGGCTACCTCACTAACAGCAAGTTTAAGTTTAGCAGCGGCCAGAAGATTTGCAAGTGCAGAGCAAGAGTCATTTCCACACATCCTTGTCCTCAATGTATTTTTCGACATTACAGTACGGAGGGCATACTGTAATGTCGAAAAATACTAGATACCACACTCCTGAGCACATGCGCGGCCCCACCTAACACGGAACCGTATCGAGCACGAGGGTTTTGAATGGACTAAGAGTTATGCATATGATGACGCTTTAATCTAAACAGATAAATAAAATTGGAGTGTCTGTTTATAATACTAAAACAACCGCTTTATACTAAATGCATATGGATGTATACGCGGTACATATACTAAAATAACATTTTTTACAATTTTTGTCTTTCTTAACTCATGCTACTTTTATTTTAGATTTTTTTTATTTTAAATTCCACGCGGGCGAAATCGCGAGCACAGCTAGTAACTAATAATAGCTGATGACTCCGTAGCGCAGAAGCCGAGGTATTGGCTTTGGCGCCAGGGGGCGTGGGTTAGATTCCCACAGGGGGAAATTATTTGTGTGACCCACAGATAATTGTTTCGGATCTGGGTATTCGTCCAAATGAAAATTATGTATATATAACATCCTTATAACATAGCATAATAATTGTATCCTACAACAATGTTTTTCAACTAGTCCTAGAAAAGAAAATCATCGTTTGGAGTAAAGTACAATTCTACCTCCTTTATTTGTTTTTAAATTAGTCGTCATTTAACTTATAACATTTCTTATCTAACGTTGTAAATGTAACCGATATCACTACATAATTATGAAACAAAGTCGTCCCGCTGTCTTTGTGTCCCTATGTGTGCTTATCTTAAAAACGACGCAACGGATATTGATGCGGATTTTTTTACAAGATAGTGATTCAAGAGGAAGGTTTATATGTATAATACATTTCATCCGTATTGTAATGAATTCATGTCAAACTGCTTATTTCATCATCATCATCATCATTTCAGCCTGTTTGAGTCCACTGCTGAACATAGGCCTCCCCCATAGACTGCCATGAAGTACGGTCCTGAGCCACCTGCATCCATCGACTTCCCGCACATTTGCACAGGTCGTCACTCCATCTAGTGGGGGGTCGTCCTACACTGCGATGGCCAGTACGAGGCTGCCACTCGAGAACCTTTCTTCCCCAACGGTTATCGGTTCTACGAGCTTTATGCCCGGCCCATCGCCACTTCAGCTGGCTAATCCTCTGAGCTATATCGGTTATCTTAGTTCTACTGCGGATGTCTTCGTTACGAACTCTATCACGCAGAGAAATACCGAGCATAGCCCACTCCATAGCTCGCTGAGCGACTTTGACCTTCCTCATACGGCCAGCAGTGAAGGACCATGTCTCGGTTCCGTAGGTCATCACTGGCAACACATTGATTGAAGACTTTAGTCTTCAAACATTGAGGTATATTCGACGAGAAGATTTGCCGAAGTTTCCCTAACGCTGCCCATCCGAGTTGGATTCGCCGATTGACCTCTGCGTCGAAGTTGGACTTACCTAGCCGGACTAACTGTCCTAGGTAAACGTACTCGTCAACAACTTCGAGCTCAGTGCTCCCAACAACAACCGGTATTGGCGTGACATGGACATTAGACATGATCTTCGTCTTGTCCATGTTCATCTTAAGGCCCACCCGTTGGGAGACACTGTTGAGGTCATTGAGCATAGCACCCAGGTCCTCCAGCGATTCTGCCATGATGACTATATCGTCGGCAAATCGAAGGTGGGTGATGTATTCGCCATTGATGTTAATACCTCGTCCTTTCCAGTCCAGAAGCTTGAAAACATCTTCCAACGCAGCGGTGAAGAGTTTCGGGGATATGACATCACCTTGTCTTACACCCTTCTGCAGTTGGATAGGTTTTGTACTACTGGACTGTACTTGGACGGACATCGTAGCCTTGCTATACAAACACCTCAGCACTTCGATATACCGACAGTCAATTTGGCACCGCTGAAGAGCCTGGAGTACCGTCCACATTTCGACGGAATCGAAGGCTTTCTCATAGTCCACATACGCTAGGCATAAGGGCAGATTATACTCTTCGGTCTTCTGTATAATCTGCCGCAAGGTGTGTATGTGGTCTATGGTACTGAAGCCTTTTCGGAATCCGGCTTGTTCGGGAGGCTGGAAGTCGTCGAGTCTGGAAGCGAGACGATTCAAGATGACTCTTGAGAACAGCACATAGACGCGGCTCAGAAGGGTTATCGGTCTATAGTTCTTCAAGAGAGCGTTATCGCCTTTCTTGAAGAACAGCACCACCACACTTCTGCTCCACGCCTCAGGTGTATTGCCACCCTGAAGGACGGAATTAAAGAGCCTCTGAAGGACTACAAGTACCGGTTCTCCACCCGCTTTCAGAAGCTCTGCTGTAATTCCGTCCTCTCCCGTTGCTTTGCCATTCTTAAGATGGTTAAGAGCCATTCTAATCTCGCTCAGACTAACGTCCGGGATATTTTCGGAATAGTGTCGGATAAGCTTTGCTCTTGGGTCGTTACTCACATATGTGTGTGGCTCCAACGACGATGTGTACAGCTGTCCATAGAACCTCTCAATCTCACTCAAAACCTCTGGTCTACTGGAGATGATAACCCCGCTGTCAGTCTTCAACTTAGTCAGTTGGCTTTGTCCGATAGACAGATATCTGGCGAAGACTTTTGAGCCTAGGTTCCGCTCTATAGCACCCTCAATACGAGCTGTATTCAAGTTGCGTAAGTCTCGCCGCATGTATTTGGAGATCTGCCTATTAAGCCGCCTGTAGTCTGACATGTCAGTTGAAGACTGCAGCCGCATCTCACGTCTTTTTCCCAAGAGGCTAAGAGTGTGATCGGAGAGTTTTTGCGTTCTATTTGTGCGGCGGGCCTTATTAAATTTAAGGCCCACGGCATGGACAGTTTCCACGAGCTTAGCGTTAATATCTTTAACTAATATCTCTAACTGCTTATTTAAAAAAAAATAAAAAAAAACAAGCCCGCTGAGTTACTTTCGCCGGTTCTTCTCAGTACAGTGGCTTTCTTTTCCGAGCCGGTGGTAGTGTTTTAACTATCAATAAGCGAGTGTAATGCTCCTATGATGAATAAAGACATTGATTTTGCTTTTTATTTTTAACCCGTGCGAAGCCGGGGTCGCCAGTAAAAATATAAAAGAAATTTTGATTAAACCAACAGTTTGACTAACACTGACCTATGTCATAAGGCCACGCTGACGGCGTGGAAAACTCGCAGGCGGGGCCGCGCGGCGTCCAATCATAGTCTAGAGAATTACCTAATAATTACCTTTCTAGCCAATGGAAAAGCCGTGGAAAATTACATAAGTGACTCGACGCTTTCACCGGTGACCTAACGGACGTGGCGCAGTTCGCGCGGTGCGTCCTGGCGGGCTTTAATAATCTGTGCGCCTTTTACCGCCACGAGGGAACTTTTTAAATACCACAGAGGCAAAAAAGAAGCGGTCATGAATCGGACTTTTGAAGCGATTTCTCAATGCATATTTTACCGTTTTAAAATTAGTTGAGCAATTACCAATTAGTATATTGAACTCAACAAAAGACCTATAGATAAATGACATACATTTTTAAATATTCTCAATTTCTCATTTAGATTGCAATTCAACTAATTTTGTACAAAACAGAGTTTTAAAATCGTTGCAATATTTATATTCTTTCAATATTAGGAGTACATGACATTTTCAACGTCAAAATTAATTTCGTCCAACTACTAAAAAACAACAACTGTCAAATATAACAACTGATTCCAAATAAAAAAAAATAAAAAAAACAAAGCAAAATTGAAAAACAAAAACGAGTTGGACAAAGATATAGGAGGTAATTCACATCGAGAATGGACCAAAATGTGCCTCTGTACGATTTGGAGCCGGTCGCGTGCACAGCGCAGCACAGCGGTGCGCTAGCAGCGCTGCGTCTGCTTCGCAGCTACAATCACTTCCTAGTGCCACCTGGTGAGTGTGTTTATTACTTGGAACTTGCTTATCCATTTTATACACCAAAATCCACATCACCACAAGCTTATAAAAAAATATAGTAAGTAATCCAGTATTGGAGCTACGGCTCCCCCAAGGCACGCCGCTATGCCCGCTCTTTCACTATGCAGATTGTGTTGTAGCCTTGCCGTTCCGCGTCAATTAAGATGTGGTCCACACTTATTAACCAGGGATAAACCTAAATAAATTCATTTAATGACGCGCGAAAACCGGAACCAGCTCGTTAACATTTTAGGCGGTATGTGTTAGAAATTTGATTGGCCATTTTAGTTTTCCGACAAAATTCTGTAAGTAAGTTAACCACTGCTCAGAGATTTTAAAGGTTGGCAACGCATCTGCATCCTCGGGTATAAATGTCCATTAAAGACGGTAAAGTTGCTTGCTGACTTGTCATATATATTTTTTTAAGTATACTGCATACTCTAGCAGCCAAATTAATTAGATTCTTGAGAAATACGATTGAACAACATGGAATAATGTTAACAACGGTATTAAAATATTAAAAATAACCTTGTACACGCTGAACATCTTATACTGTTATACCAACTGACTTCAAAAAAAGAGGTTCTCATTTCAGTTGACTTTTTTTTATTATTTTACATCACAACTTATTTACAAAACATAACGAATAATTCAAAAATTCTTTTTGCTTGGGCTCGCTGTAGCTCATTAATTTAATTTGTTAATTTAATAATGGATTTTGAAATCTGAAGATAACTCGGGGAACTCAAAATCGAATAGAAAATGTATTGTGAGTGAGATATGTTTCAGTCGGTCATCGGATTCTATCTTCTATTAATGAAATTTTGACATAATCTGTTCTACATTCAACTTTATAATTTAAAATCGTGGAATGGGAAAATTTTAATTGTTTCAGTTATTAATTATTTGCTTCAAGGAACGTTGAGTAATAAATTTTTGCCGAGGTGCGTGAAAAATCAATAACTTTTACGCAATAAGCAAAGCATTATTATTTACCCGTGTCATAAATTTTATTGATTTTATCTATTTTAAATTAAACTATTTTACAAATTTTATCGTGTTTTATTATCCGTTAATCTCCGGACATTTCCGATATTTTGTATAAATGGAACATTCTCCTCAGCTACTTCCGGCTCGGGATTCTATTCTCGATGAAATTAAGTTCAGACCAAAGCACTCCGTCTCTTTTAGATTTCAAGTAACGGTTAGTATTTGTGGTTAGTATTAGCATTGTTATATATTATACTAGCTGACCCGACAGACGCTGTCCTGTACACACGACTTAATCCTAGGCCCTACCCACAGCGGAGGGCCCAAACCCGTGGGTTCTGGCTCGCCCACCGGTTCTACGTCAGATGAAGATTTAATAGTCTCGGGACTAAAAGCAAAAACATCAGTTAATACAAGATACAAGACAAGACTTTTTAAAACTATTAAATCCTACAACTTATAAATAAAAAAATAAAAAAGTTGTAGTGTCCCGAATTGTGAATCTAAACTATTTTCGAATCGACTTGAAGATAGCCAAAAAATTTCATATAAATCGGTCCAGCCGTTTAGGAGAAGTTCAGCGACATACACGTACAGAAGAATTATGTATATAAAACGAATTATTTTGCAGCATGAACGAAAAATTTAACTCGTGGTTCTATTTTGATGATTCTTACTTTTGATGATGACTTACTTCAATCGAACTGTCTTTTGGGTGTTAATAAAGACATGAAAATGATAATACGTTACTTACTTGGCTGGCTCAGCGACCCAAAGAGGATCTTGGCTTCCGACACGAAAAGACGCAACTGCTCTCTATTCTGGGCTGTTTCTTGCCAATTGGCTGATTGGAGAGCTCTCAGAGCTTTATGGACTTCGTTTTTCCAGCGATATCTGGGGCGACCAACAGGACGTTATAATACGTTAGTATAAAATAAAATTGTAACAGTCAGGTATGTGTCCCACTGCTGAGCAAAGGCCTCCTCTGTACAGAGGGTATTGGGGAATGGTCCACCACGCGACCCCACTGCGGATTAGCGGACTTCACATATCTTCCAAATATTTTTTTGAGATTATTTAAAAAATTTACAGGTTTTATTTCAATGTTTTATTTCACCCCCAGAGCTCGTAATAAGTCGGCACTTAAAATTAACAATTGTTGTCACCGTACCGACGTTGAGCCGTGATAGCTCATTGTCCGGGTTGACCATTTCATTGGTGCTGGCACCGAATATGAACTCAGTTCGCTCAAGTATAGCCTGGACACTGAGTTATCAGAGTGAGTTGTCTCAGCTATCACGGCTCTCAGATATTATGTGAAGTAGGTCAAGTCGCGTGACTGGCTATTCCCTCCGTACAGAGGACATATGATTATTACATTTATCACGGGGAGTATTCCGAGGAATTGTTTGGATTGATCCCGTCGGCTGAATTCCACCATCGGACATCCCGCCAGAACCAAAAATTTCATCCACACCACCTCGATGTCCAGCGTTCCACAACAGCGCCATTTTCAAGGCATTTCCTGCCTCGCACAACCACTCTGTGGAACCAGCTGCCGCCGGCGGTCTTTCCGAACCGTTACGACCTGGGAACCTTCAAGAAGAGAGCATACTCTTTCCTTAAAGGCCGGCAACGCATTTGTAAGCCCTCGGGTGTTGCAGGTTAATGGGCGGCGGTAATCACTTACCATCAGGTGAGGTTCTTGCTAGTTTGCTCCTTTTCTCCATAATAAGAAAAAAGAAGAAAAAAAAAGAGTCCCAGAGATGGACCAATTAGTATATAAGGCGTTACTTTTATTCTTCTATTTGATGAAAACTCTGTCGACAAATGGGCTTTTGGGTTAGTGCGTTTATTATAGTTGGTCTCATCACCCCTTACCCTCCATGACGTGTAATAACTGTCGTAGCGCTGTAGCATAGTCGTTCTTTAGTATGCTGTAGCGCTGTAGCAAAGCCAGTGCCTCGGTTTGACGTAGCTTTGTAGCGAAGAATCAAATGCTACAACGCTGAATACCTACGTCACATTGATAAAGTTCATTGCTAGATATGTACAATCTTTATTGATCTTATATTTACAAGATTTAATCTATCTAAAATTGGCAACAACACGCGGCATGGTGCCAAGAACGCTATTTCCTCGCTGAATAGTTATGCTTAACCTTTGAGCGAGAAAAGAACCAGCTCTCTTGTCACCAGCCGCGGCGTTAAGCCTAGGACATAAACTTTTAAAAAATTTTGATGTGCGGGGGGGACCCCACGGACCTAAAGTTTCAACAGCAAATGGCACAAATACATAATCTAAACATAAGACTCATATTTGCGCCATTTACTTACTTCAGCTGCCTCCGATGCCGCCCCGGCCCTGACCGAAGTACCCCTTAGATGAGAGGCAGCCAAAGTGTCTACACAAGTGGCGTCCCAAACAAGGGCTTTGCCTCTCTACCAAGGGATCAATGTTAAACCGTCGGGTCTCTTACCATCGTCATTGCTAGATTAATGTTATTCATTATTGAGCCCCGATAGCTCATCATCCAGGCGCTCGCTTTTAGTTCAATATATACTCCAATAACATGATGTCGATCCCCTATGGTACCACCATAGGGGATCGACATCATGTTATTATACCTGTATATTTTCGAAATAATAATAAAAAAACATATTCGAAGATATGATAAGTTTGCCAAACCGCAGTGGGGCCGCGTGGTAGACTATGCCCTGATACACTTTACATGTACAGAAGAGGCCTTCGCCCAGCAGTGGGACATGTATAGGCTGTTACTATAACTTTACTTTCTACACAAATACTTGACCCATTTAGGATCCAAACCGGCGACCTCCGGATCTGAAGCCAATAGCTTAGCAACGCCACCGAGTTATCCCAAAGTAAAACAAAGTTCAATATTAACAAAGCTAAATACATGCAGCGTATTGCGGACGGGCAAATATTTGTCAAACGTAACCCTCGACCAATTAAGCAGTTTGCCCAACCGTTTAGAGGGCCACGGGGCGCGTGGCGGCGATCAAGGGTTCCAGTTCCATACAATATTCATGCACAGCAAAATCGCGGTGTGAAGTGCTGAAACACGCAAGGCAAATCCGACTCTATGTTCTCAAAAATAGGGACCCATATCGCGTCACAGGTTCCTCCTGATTACGCGAAAACTACTGTTCGCTACTGTCATATGAGTGAGGAAGCGCTTTCGTGTTTCATATGCGATTTTGATATTTAAGTTGTAACCAGTAAAGGTCATATTTAAGTGAAGGGAGCCGCGGTGCACTTGTATGACCCACGATCATCTGTTTAGGGGATCGAGCACCTGTAACGATTCACGTTCAATTAGTTTTATCAATAACGCCCCGACGGGTCACCGTCGGAACACGCTTTTGCGTTCGCAGGATTTGTTAGTCGACAATTCGTACTGGCCATGCGGAAAGTTTATGAAAGAAAAAGAAAAAATTAAAAAGTTTTAACAGTAAATAATGGCGGGAAACTTAATGTCAAATTTATTCGAAAAATTATTAATAAAAATAGATCTATACGAGACAAATAATACGAAATTTACATTGTTAATCAGTGGAGGATAACTAAGTATTTTAAAGTATAATATAGGTAATTTTTAATTTTGTTTTGTTTTCTGTAGTATATGAGCAGACAGAATCACTGCATTTCTTACAGTAAAACAGATGCTTGTGCATATATCTAAAAAAAATCTCCTAAAGAAATGTCTGACAAACGATTTTGTTTTGCCAAGTTTCGGACGTTTTAGAATCAGAATAATTTAAAATTGTAAACATTGCATTGCATTATTTTCAATTTCTAATTAAGTAATCGGAGGATTTCTTTGGTTGATATTCTTCAACTGATAGATAAACTACGAAGCGAAATTTGTTACTTGTTACTTAATCGTGACTCATAATAATAAATTATATCCTGTTTCATATTTTTTATCTTTTTATTGAAATATTGGCCAGCATTTAACCACATTTACAGTTGTACAGACTTTTCATAGTTTAATAAATAGATGAAAGGTGCACAGAAATTTGTCGCATATTGCTCCGTAAAAATGTTAACCTATGTTCTGAAAAAGGACAAAAGTTCAGTTTTCGTTTTTTGTTTGTTATTACAGAACTCGGCCATTTAAGAAACAATTTAAAAAATTATTTTTGCTTTGGCCTCAGTTTACCTCTCATGTGGCCCCAAATTAATTGTCTTACATCAGGGAACTCCTCGAAATCATTGTTTTCTCATTGTCTATGGTGTGTTCTATGTGGTGTGTGAGATGGTCACTCACTATACAATGGGATAGAGATGAGGCCTACATGCTGGTACAGGTATAAATACCCAGTATGAAAGTACCATTATGCAGACCGGGTATGTACGGCAAAGGCCCGTTCCGGACCCGCTAGGTATTGTCGCTATCGCTCGCGAGTACGCGGACCTAGCGCCGCCCCGTCAGACGGTGGCGGTATTTCATAACGTTCGCGCTCGACCGCCTGTGGCATTTTATACCAAATAATTCCTTGAGATAAATGTATTCTTTATTTCTATGAAAATTAGGTAGATAAATAATTGCGGAATAAGGTTAAACAGTAATATTTATTTTGAATTACTTTTTTTTTGTAATAGGGTTCTTAGTAAATATATAGCTTATTTTACACTGATTAAACCTCAATTAAAAAAAAACTAATAACTAAAAAAACATCTAAATGTTCCAAAGGTTCCTTTCATTTGATTCTCAAAAAGGAGGCCTGGACATACCTATAGGTATTTTGATACTGGGTTTTAGCACCGGGTATACGGCGATACCTGTACCTTTAAGGCCGGGTACAGAATGTTGCAGGTATATCTCATACCTACAATGGGACAAATAAACGAAGCAATATACTTATAACATTTCTTAGTATTGCATTTAGTCTGATGATTAGCATAACTATCAAAGTTAGCGACCTGATTGACGTATGGATGAAACTGAAACTGTTTGTTTAGCCAGAAAGTATGGTTAAACTGCATCTTTATACAGCATACTTATATAAAATTCTTGTGTACGTGTGTATGTCCTCCTCCTTAACTCCTTCTAAACGGCTGGACCGAATTTAATTAAATTTTTTGTGTGTCTTCTTCAGATCGATTCGATAATGGTAATGACTTCGATCCACTACAATTTTTTTTAAATTATTTTATTTATAAGATGATGGCGGAATTAAATCGTGTGTATCGGACAACGTCTGCCGGGTCCGTTAGTCGTATGTATTTATTTTACAAAAGAAAATTATCTTTACGTATGTTTATCTGTTACTTAATGACATAGCACAAACTTCGCTTGATGATGTACGAAGCTGGCGCGAGGCCTGCTTTAAACGAGTCTCGGGGGCCCTGTCCCCATTACTCGGGCATGTATCTCGACCAGCGAATGGCTGGTCGGTGGTGAGGATGGCCATCGGCCATCCCTATCCCTGACCGCGGTAGCGGCACTTGCGGGTGTACGGCGTTACACGCGGTGTGTAAACGCGAGGACGACATCGTCTTCGACACAGCGGCGGAAGTGCGGTCGGGTCCGGCCCCCCAATGGCCTGTTCCGACCGCAGTAGCTCTCGTGGGAGCGGACGTCCGTCAGGAGGACGGGCGTGGAGTGGAGCAATATTCTCCAGGTGTGGGTGTGGTCCGTTGTCAGCCCTGTCGTACAAGCGACGGGCCAACCGGACCACAAACTCCTCGATGGACACGATCTTCAGGTCTCTGGCGATTACGTCGTTCCTGACGTAACGCCCGGCTCCCACGATTGCTCGAAGGGCGAGGTTCTGCTGCGCCTGGAGCCTGCGCCTCTGCGAGGCGGAAACCAGTGTATACCACGCCGGAGCGGCGTAGGTCAAGCGCGAACGGATGTAGGTTTTATAGACGCCCAGTTTCGTCTTAACAGGTAGCTTGGATGCCAGGATTGGGTAAAGGACCGCTCGAGCTGCCCTGGCTTGTCGAACAGAGTGTTCGACTTGGGGCGCCATACTCAGCGAGCGGTCTATCCGGCACCCAAGATACCTGATGGTGTCCTGGTTCGTTATCGCTTGACCTCGCAGCTCAAGCGTGGGTTGGTGTTTGATGTAGCGGATGAAGATGGCGGACGTTTTGTCAACATTGACAGACATCCGCCACCTATCCAACCACTCGGGCAGCAGGTCCAATTGGCGCTGCATCTTCCTCGCCGCAAACGCCGCGTTGTGTGAAGACGTGAAGAACGCACTGTCGTCCGCGTACAGGGCCAACAGTACGTCTTCATCCCAGTCGGAGGCGTTTTGCTCCAAGGTGGGAATGTCGTCCGTGTACACCGCATACAGGTGTGGCGACAGACAACTACCTTGTGGTACACCGGCTTTGATGCATCGTACCGCCGAGTCGGCTCCCTCGACGTGTACGACGAACTTCCGGTCCCGGAGAAACGACGCTACTAACCGCACGAGCGCACGGTGGGTGGTGGTATTTTCCAGCAGCTTATGTAGCAGGCCTTCGTGCCACACTCTGTCGAAGGCCTTCTCCATGTCGAAAACTTCGCTTGTTGGTGAGATTAGATGACGTGGTGTAAAAACATGCTCAGATATTATATCGATTTATTTCTTTATGAATGAGTTTTTTATGTGAAGAGGTGTCACGTGAGCAGGCGGTTTACCTGGTGTTAAGTGATGCCCGCCACACCTGGACATTTGCAACACCCATAGGGATGCTGATGCGTTGCCACCTCATTAATAAAGTGTGTCCCGGTTACCCTATAACGGCGGGACCCTATTACTAAGATTCCGCTGTCTATCTATCTATCCGTCTATAACCAGGCTGTATCTCATGAACCGCGATAGTTGGACATTTAAATTTTCAGAGACTAAAAAATAGAATAATACAATAGACATGATTTTTTGCCGTTTTTTATAGATAATGGCACGGAACCCTTCGTGCCAAGTCCGGCTCCCACTTGGCCGGTTTGTATTTTTTTGTATCTCAAGGTTGGCAACCACGGATGTGCGTCCATGAGAGGTGACCACTCACCATCAGGTGTGCCAATTGCTCGTTTGTACTGTCTACCAACATTACGGCATGACAACAAATGACTCGAAATCACCTTCCGTGGGAAGTCGCACCTGGCCAATTTGATCGCGCTTACCGCCCCTTCACCCCTGGTATAGTAATGACGGTGTACGAAAGACTAATGACGTGCCATGCACTACGTGTGTACAGAGCCTAATTGCGAACACGGCCGCATCCTTTCGGGCCTTAGCCCCGACTTCGCGACAACATTTCCAAACTCGAAGTAGGTGTCCGGACTTCGTGACTCTCAGAGCTAATCTAAAGCTCATCTAAAGTCGAAGAAGATATTTATGTATGATCCATTAACCAAATCCATTGTTCAAAAATATTGACATAAACGCCACTCGGACACCGAGCTATTATGTTCTTGAATAAATAACTTTATTTATTCAAGTGTAACAATTTAAAACGAAATTAAGAAGGTACCTCTTTCAAAAATGTAAAGGAAACGATGACAATCAAGATATCAATCGAGTTATCGTAACTTAATTTTTTTTTAATTCATAACAATTATTTTATTATATCACTTTTAGTTAAATTTCTGCGCTTATAACGGGCGGTGTGTTTAGTTTTAATCTTGATAAAGCATCCGTAGCAGAGATGGTGATAAAATTGTGAGTTATAAATCCTACTATAGTAGAACCATGCAGGATATCGAAGGAACCGCCAAACTATTTGACTATAGTTTACATCTACTATATTGACAGCAAACGATCTCTTAACGTCAGGAGAACCACACGTTCGACTGCAAATTTCTTATAAAAATAAATATCTAAATGTAGTTTACATTTACTGTAATTTACTACAAGGTATGGCAAATATTACATATTTGCATCAAGGTATATCTCATATTCATATGACTGTGAGCTTCGGCTGTTGCACGAATGGGCAGTCCGGGAAAGTACCACGTCCACATAGAAGACATTCGACGTGTAGTATATAAATGTGGATAAGTATATAATAGACGTAAGTAAGTTATGCTTTCGCGTTTTGTCTGTCGAGTAAGTACCGGGACCCATATTTTTAATGTTTCAACTCTTCGGCAACCCATCAGGTGTTGTAGATGTCGTTGGGCCTCGGTACTCATTTAACATCAGGTGAACCGCTTGCACACTTGCCAACTTATAACATAAAAAAATGTAAGAGTAATGATTTCTATTATGTCGGCTACTTTCGGTCGTCATTAATATTAAGATACTCTTTAATAGAATGTCAATTGACTAAACCCGATATTTATTATAATAAAATAGTATTAAAGGTGAGGGGGCTAGTGTTGTTGATTTTTGGCGGGAGCTTTGAGATGGATCCCTCGGTATCCCTCTCAAATCTCCCGCAGGACACTAGCGCCCCCACTTGCAATACTTGTTTAGCATAAAAAATATCGGGCTTAGTCATTTGATGCACTATTAAAGAGAAGATGACCGAAAGTAGCCGACATAATAGAAATGACGTCAAAAGTAAACCTATTTTTGAATAATTGTACTAAAACCGACTTTTATTCCAGATGTCCACGGCGTTGTTCCGTTGCTGACGACGCTACCGCAGCCGGCGTGTCTGCCGCCCTACTGCCAGCATTTACCAGCGAGGGCAGCGCCACGTGAGGAACATTCTCATTACGAGGCGACCCTTCATCACTGCAATCCCCCGTTAAGTCCTCAACTCCCCTCCGTAAATTCCCTCCATCACTTCTTCGCAAACGAATAAGTCCCTTAATCGTACAACACATCACTCAGGCTGGGTCTATCGGGCCGCGCCCGTGTAGCTTTCTTATTTGAGAAGGTGGCAAAAGAGCTGGCGGTTCGTTCTGATCGTTAAGTGATAACCGCCGCCCATTGACATCAACCCTAATTGATGTTACGCTTTCAGCCATTAGTCTATTAAAGAGTGGGTAGGGCCACGGATTTGAGGCCCTTCTGAGTGGGTAGGGCCACGCATGTACTCATGCGTGCGTTAATTATGACATATCGCCTACGCGCCATCGAGGTTCGGTGCGGACCGTGATCCCGATGGCCGTTGACTGTGCTCGGTTAGTCGGTGGCTGGGGGCGGTGAGAATCTCTATCGTAGGCCACCACTATAAAACATAGTGTTACTCAACTTTACCTTAACTTGTACATGTACACAAAGCCGTCGGCTACGTTACTGTTGTTGTGTATCAAGTTGTTGGTCTAGCCTGACCTGTCTGACGGAGCCGTCACTATAATACATAGTGTTACTCCTCTTTACCTTACCTTGTACAATGTACATGTACTCAAAGCCGTCGCGTGCGCTGTATTGTGGTGTGTCAAGTTGTTCGTCCGGTTGAAAGTGTATATAACATAGTGTTACTTCACTTTACCTTACCTCGTACATGTAACACGTAGGCCGTTGTCTGCGTTACTCCTGAGTGATACTTCTCTTTACTCGTACATGTTAACCGAAGCCGTTACCTAAGTGACTGTTGTGTATCAAGTTGTTGGCCCGGCTAGACCTGTCTGACGGAGCCGTCACTGTAATACATAGTGTTGCTCTACTTTATGTTATCTTATACATGTACATGTACACGTACACAAAGATTTACATGTACACAAAGCCGTTGTATCAAGTTGTTGGTCTGGGTAGACCTGTCTGACGGAGCCGTCACTGTAATACATAGTGTTGCTCTACTTTGTGTTATCTTATACATGTACATGTACACGTACACAAAGATTTACATGTACACAAAGCCGTTGTATCAAGTTGTTGGTCTGGGTAGAGCTGTTTGACGGAGCCGTCACTGTAATACATAGTGTTGCTCTACTTTGTGTCATCTTATACATGTACATGTACACGTACACAAAGATTTACATGTACACAAAGCCGTTGTATCAAGTTGTTGGTCTGGGTACAGCTGTTTGACGGAGCCGTCACTGTAATACATAGTGTTGCTCTACTTTATATTAATTTTACCTGTACATATACAACTACAACTGACTGATTCATACATTCAGATACTCTTTCATTCGTTGCCACAGCGCCGCATTACAAGTCTCTCCTTCTAACAGTATGTTTTGTCTCTTTTAAATTCATTCAACCCATTCATATGATTTGTGACCTTTACATTAAAGTTTTATACGTAAGGGTGTTCTAAAATTATTTGTTTTGGAAAATTTGATAACTCGGTAAATATTGATGTTTAAAAAATGTAAATGTTTAATACAATTTTAAAAAGTTATCCTCTCTATGTGTGTTCATTTATTGTCGCGATGGTAAAGACACGCTGTACATAGAGTGTTACTCAATGTTACCTTGTACATGTACATCTACACAAAGATGTACATGTACACAAAGCCGTCACTTGCGCCACTGTTGTTGGTCCGGCTGGACCTGTCTGACAAGGCCGTCACCCGACAGTCTTGTCGCCGGCGAGCGGCGCGGGCGACGCGGAGGGGCGGCGCCGCGGCGAGAAGCGGCCCATACCGGCCGAGCTGAAGGACGAGAAGTACTTCGAGAGGCGGCGCCGCAACAACCAGGCGGCGAAGAAGTCGCGCGACGCGCGCCGCGTCAAGGAGGACCAGGTACGCCAGACGAAAACGGTCTTTATTACGTGTTGAATAAGAGTCATGAAAGCTTGCGCGTTGAACATGTTGCATGAAGTGCGCCAGAGGAAAGTAGTACTTACTACGTTATAAATAGAGGTCATAAAAGCGCGACTACGTTTGTGTAGAATAGACTGAAGGCATGACATTCAGACAGAAAGACAGATATACATAGAAATATTTACATAAATTACGGCCTATGTCTTATTCTGATGTACAAGCTATATTATTGTAAAGTTTCATTAAAATCCATTCAGTGGTATTTGCGTGAAAGCGTAACAAACATCCATCCATATATACAATATTAGTAAGGGAGTAAGGATGTAATGGTTTAATCTCCGTCACGGCGCCAGATCGCTTGGCGCGCCTGTTTCCTCGAGCAGGAGAACGCATCCTTGCGCGCGCATATCGCCGCTCTGCGCCAAGAGGCGATGACCTTACGCGCGATGCTGGCCCGTGGAGCCACTGACTTGGCGCAGACGGCCCACCCAGCACCGTCCTCCACGACCGCCGACTGACGCGAAGACTTGACGGCACCGCGGCGCAGCTGCCAGGGTGTTGGCTTAGCGTCGCACGCCGTGGGTTCGATTCACGCACGAGGCAAATAGCTGTGTGACTCACAGATAGGCCAACGTTAAAAAAAACACCGCCCAAGTGCGAATCTCTAGCAACGGCAAAAACGAGTAACGTCTGTTGTTCCGTTTTGTAGTATGTGTTGTTATGACGGCAACAGACATAGACATAGTCTGTGAAAATTTCAACTCTATGAGTACAGCTGTGACAGACGGACAGACAGTGGAATCTTAGTAAAAGGGTACCCTTTGGGTACGGAACCCTAAAAAAGGGACCTCATTGCCGTGTAACTCAAACTTCGAGAATCGTTACATCTTCCCCAAATGGAAGCGTGTATTTGTCCTGTACGTCCTGTCGCTCATCGGCCCATGTTACATATTTTTTGTTGTTAAATATTTATGTCTCTAATGACAGACAGGGTTATTGTATGTTTGGTCAATGAATCCGATACTACATTCACGTTTCACTATATTATGAGCGTTGGTTTGTTATACAGCGTGTCGTTACCAACGCGACAATAAATGAACACACATATAGAGGATAAATTTTTAAAATTGTATTAAATATTTACATTCTTCAAACATCAATATTTACAGAGTTATTAAATTTTCCAAAACAAACAATTTTAGAACACCCTTACGTATAAAACTGTAACGTAAAGTTCATTTGTAAAGGTCATAAAGCATATGAATGAATTTATAAGAGACAAAACATACTGTTAGAAGGAGAGGCTTGTAATGCGACGCTGTGGCGCGAGTTGTATAGGATGTTACAAATTTTGTTTCTTTTTTACTTAATTAGTTTGTTTGAAAAATATTTTTTTTTAATTATGGATTTTGTTTAACGTTAATATTTTTTTATGATCATTGGTAAGTAGCGTTAGACGTGTGTTCATTTATTGTCGCGATGGTAACGACGCGCTGTATATGATTTTCTCAATGTTGATTTACTGCGAGATTGGTTGTGAAGGGAAAACTTCTCAAGACCTGTATTAAATGATAGATAAGCAGTGAACCCTAATAAAACATGGAAGCCGTTCGCTCATACAAGTGATTGTTAATAAATATATAAATATAATAGCGCTACAACTCTCACTGAGAGTTATCACGCATCGTCAAACAAAAATGAACTTATTTGTTAGTTCAACTAAGTCTACAAACCTAAAACCGCCTCGCGGTATAAGCCCCGCGCTGTCACGGTGTAGTTTTTCGTTATGTCATTTCGGACAATAATGCTTCCATGTATGCGTTCACTGTAGATAATATATTTAGCAGATATCTTAACCACTTGGCCTTAAGTTTACTTTCTATTTTCAAAGCGCTTTTGTACATTGCCAGTAGGTTTGTGTTATCGTAAGTTATTATGGCAAGCAAAAATTGAACGTGTAACTAATAAAGCATTTTTATAATGAATGATTTTTTCTAAACACATCCCGCGCTTCCTGGTCCGATGCTCCGACAATAAGCTCCATGAACAATCTCTAAATTTATTTTGCCAGGGCCACAGAGCAGCCTTCACTGTTGCCCGTGATAGATTAATATAACAAATTAAATATGTATTATTATAAAAATATATACTAAATTGTATGTTTTAAATATAATTTTGTAATAGACTTTAGGACTATGAACTGTGATAATACTTTGTGACTTTACATACAGGGTGGCTTTTCTAAAGATGCCCAAATTCACACCGAACGTTCTGACTCGGTAATAAAATCATTTATTGAAATAAAAACAAACTTAAAAAAAAAAAATTGCTTCTATTTCCTAAAAAACAGAACGTGTTGACAATGCGGTAGTCATTCATAAATACCTAAATTTTACTGTGCACGCACACAAACAAAACTGAGCGCTCGCGATAAATCAGAAATGAGAATGACCCGTGCCGGCACGGCGTCGTATACTTTTGAAACGAACATGTTAGTTATGAATGATGGCGCGTAAAATAAATGAGTTGCCTATAAATCACGCACTTTTGAGGTAAGTTCAAAAGAATGAAATTAAATATTTATAATTTTTTATATAACATTATATATGATTAGAATTTAATTAAAAAAATGTATTCTCTTAGAAAAGCCTCCCTGTATATATTTTTTAACAAAACATATTTAATTTTTATATTAATCTATCACACGAATGTGCAGGCTCTACCGGGGAATTACCGCGGGGAAATACCGGGAATTAGCCCGGACGGACCTGCCGATTCGTGCAACAGAGAACACTGTTGCGTGGTCCTACACTAACACTCTTGCGCTTCGTCTGGTAAGTGAGATAGACAGGGTGCAACTAATTTAAGGTTGGCACTGCAACTTGTATTCCACGGGTGCTGTATCCATTTGCGGCGGTCGATTCGAAACTATGCTTTCCGAGTCACGCACCCAGATACTCTAATGACCAAGATAAGGTCGACGTCCACACAACGCGACAGTCTCAAAGCCTCATCAAAGTATGGACATGCCTCATCTATATGATTAAATAAATATCATTGCGAATTACCACGTGAACCAAGTGCCTATTACTAATTCAATCATGTCCTAGATCCTCTTGTCATTTTATACATGGAAGCTGCTACTTCTTCGGCAGTAAACAAGTTGTGAAAATATAATTGAAGGCATTTGGACTAACGGTTATTAGTTGTGGGCGTGTTTTAATGGGAGGAAGGTATGGCCCTCTATGTGACAAGTCGGAAAGCGGCGGTTCATGATGTAAAAAGATTATTCACGGCCGTGCATATTTACAACGCCTAAAGGGTGTCTTATTTGACTTATATGGGACTGTGGTACTACCTGCCGAGCCTGCCCATTCGTGCAACAACAGATGCTGCTACGTGGCCCTGCCATAGCTGGGCTTCTAAATTATTTTTTAACATGTTGGCAGTATTATTATGGTTGCTATAACAACCGACTTTAGCGGGAGCACTTGGTTTTTTAATGGTTAATCTTTTATTGTATACCAAAAAGTTTAGTTTCCAGTTGCTAAAACGTCCATTATTATCTAATCCGGACAATGATCTTAATACGTAATATTATCATAGAAATTATCAATTGCAAGTCTGTTAACATTGATTTAGTTCATTTCATCACCAATATTAACAAGAGAATTATTTACAAGAGAATTTTAAATTATTTGAAATTAATTGAAACGTTTTATTTGAATACTTCCAGTTTGAAGTATATGGATATAGTGTACATGAGAAGAAATGCAATGTATAATACCCATTTAGTTTAGTGTTTTTCGTGATAATAATAAATGTGATAAAAATTATACTTAAAAATTTAGAAATAACTAAATGTGCTAGATGATATGAATGGTTTGGCGTATATATATATTTGGCAAATACTACGCTACCTGCACATACAAAGATTTTAAATAAGTTTCATTTTTTGACAGCACCATCTGTATTTTTAACTATCAACGAATACTAAAGTTTTGTTGTCTAACATGTGGCAAATTTCCGAAACTATAACTTATACATTAAGATCAATTAATTATAATAGTAATTTAGCGATTTATAAAGATAAATATAAAACATTTAAACAAATTAACTAATTATTTTGCCTTACATAGATACTGCATTATGGTACAAACAACTCTCGACGCTTTCTATCTAAAGCTACTTTTTTTTAATTTGACGATAATGATAATTTAATTAAAATTCTGTTGTGTATGACATTGGGACAATCGAACCATACTCAGGAGACATTCGGACAATCGATGGATACGAGGGACACTCGGCAGACACTCGTAAGAACCATGGTGGAGTCATGTTAGAGTTGCAATATACGAGTAATGTGTTTTATTACCTTTATCCTTCTGCTACAGAGCGTCGTAATTGGTGTACAACAACAGCAACAAACATAATTAACCATAAATACACTGGAGATATAATTTTCACGTAAGTATTACGGAGCTAATTTCTAATACATATCGCTAGTAACAATGTCCACAGATAGATAAAATATTGAAATCGGCGGATAGATGTCGACTCGACGAAGTTGAAGTTTGATAAATATGAAATACCATTTTGTTTAACTTAGTTTTTATTTAAAGTAAGCTGAGATTTTCTTAAGTTCGTTCCTTTTGTTCGAACATTTTAGTGGAGTAAAAATACTTTCTTTTTGTAATCCTTCAACATATGAAGGTACGTACTGTAAAATAAATTTTTATTACGGAAAACTAACTGATAATAGAACAAATGATAATGAAAAAAAAAAAGAAAACGACAACAGTTCAATACTTTCAGGGATTTACAATATTGTACAATAATACAAATAAAATTCAACTCTTGTTTATATTTGTTCATGTTCATCCACGATGAACCATAACTAAGTAGACCATTACTAGTAGTACTGGTGATTAATAAGCGCACATTCTGGTGAACTCCGTAGCAGTTGGAGTTTCTCAGTAGGTGAAGGAGCTCTTCTCCAATTTCTCCTCTTTCATAACCTCCACTATCCAGTCGTAGAGGTAGGGGATGTTCACGTACGCGCCCGGCACCCCCTTCTTGCCGCAACCCACGCCGGACGAGACTATGCCGAAAATCGCGTATCGCATCCCCTTCTTGGGGTCCTGTTATATATTTATTTGTTTAATAAACCATCTTTATAAGAGCATGGCTCTTATAAAGATGGTTTATTAATGGCCCCCAATGGCCGATGACTGTATTAATCTGTGGCGGGGAGCGGTGAAAACCACCTTAGAAGGTAGCATTTAGTGAGCGAGTCAGTGGCTTCTGTATGGACTTATGTAGACAAATTACCTAGGTTTATTAAAGAATGTCATAGTATTAATACGTATGTTCAAAAGTAAATTACGAATATGTAAGCGCGCTATACTTAATTATTTAAAATAAAAAGTAGAGTAAAGTACAATATCAGCCTATACATGTCTCACATCTGGGCAAAGGCCTCCTCTGTACAGAGGGTAGGGCAAAGACCACCACGCGACCCCACTGCGGATTGGCGGACTTCACATATCTTCCAAATATTTCGATTTTTTTTTATTATTATGTCGAAAACATGCAGGTTTCCGAGTTTCAAATATCTCACTCACAATCCATTATCTATTTGATTTTTAGGAAATCACTGATGTATCCGGAGTCCAAGGTCAAATACCCATGAATGGGAGACCATATGGGAGCTAAGTCGAAAGGAATGCAAAAAGAACTTTTATATCAGGTCATAAATGGCGGAGTTCTGGGGTAACAAACATAAAAACCTGGCCGAGTACAAGTCGGCACGAAGGGTTCCGTACCATTTTCTCTAAAAACGGCAAAAAATCATGTCTATTGTATGGGAGTTAAACTTACCACTTAAATATTTTCTTATTCTGTTTTTTAGTATACGGTATATTATTATAGTGGCAACAGAAATACATCATCTGTGTAAATTTTAACTTTCTAACTATCACGGTTCATGAGATACAGCCTGTTGACAGACGGACAAACAGACAGGGAGTCTCTTTAATAGGGTCCCGTTTTACGCTTTGGTTACGGTACCATAAAAACACACAGCCGAATTAAGAAGGTTTTGTTTTGAAGTAGGTCGAAAAAGAAACCCCTGCTTTAAAGGTGTTACAAGTTTGTGGGATATTCACCGAGATGGGGCAGACGAGGGGCGAGCCGCCGTCCCCCTTGCAGCTGTCCACTCCTGCCTCCCCCCCAGCGCAGGTGAGCGATGGGTGCAGCCGAAACCGTGAGCCGAGCCTAGTGTTGCGCAGTCGCCTCTGGCACACGTCGAAGTCCACGAGAGGCACGTTTATCTGAAGAGCGAACTTATTTCTCACCATTCTGTACTGTTTAAACAACAACAACTATGAAGATTTTTCTGCGCTAGGGCCACACAGCATCTGCTGTCGTAAGAATGGTCAGGCCCGTCCGGAGAAGCCTCACAGAAGACCGAAGGTAAGTGTGTGAAGTGGAAGAATGCTTTATACGTTCCGTTCGGTGAGGGAAGAACCGGGGTAGGCTCTTTTAATGTTGGCAACGCATCTGCAACACGTCAGGTGTTTTAGATGTCAATGGGCGGAGGTAATTTTAACATCAGGTGAACCGCCTGCTCGCTTGCCGACTATTATTAGATGAAAAAGTTTTTACCGCGTAAAGCCTTATAGCAGCTTTTGTATGAACGGGCTAATGGAGGTGCTACCCAAAAACATGAGTTTACAAAAGAACTTCACTATTCATTGGTATATGGACTACTAGCTGCCCGCGACTATATCTGCGTAGAATAGGCCGAAGGCGTAACATTCAGACAGAAAGACACATATACATAAAAATATGTATATAAATTATAGCCTATGTGTTATTCTGATGTATAAGATGATTGTTGTAGTTTTATTAAAATCTATTCAGTACTATTTGCGTGATAGAGTAACAAACATCCATCCATACAAACTTTCCCCTTTATAACATTAGTAAGGATATTATAATCGAACTGAAACTGGTTACGAAACGATACACAAATGCTGTATTCGTAACGTTGCCCGGCGGGAGCAGTGGCCTGCGTAGTTTTACTTACGCATTTACACTTGGATAACTTGCCTTTGAAGAGGCTATGAGGTGTTAAAGTTCTTTTCTATGCGAAAATTAATTTAAATTTAAAAGATAGTTTTGTGTTGTATTATTTACGTATTATGAAGTGAGAACTTTAGTAATTTATAAATGATTTATAAATCAAAACGCCATACCTGCACAGAATACATAATATACTCTGAGAAAAGCGTAACTCCAAACATAAAAATTGACAACTAATAACATTATACTACTAGCGCCGTAGTACTATATCTAGCAAAAGAACCCCCACCGCTGACTTTTAAATATCTAGGCGGGATTATAATAATTTTGAATGATTTTTTTTTTCATTATGGCTAAATGTAGTACTTTAATCATCACAAGTTTCATAATTTAAATTAGATAGTTTATTATTAAAACCTAATGAAATAAAAATACACATTAGTGTTTTTAAAGTAATTAACTAAATAATAATAATGAGAAATTAAGATAAACAACCGAAACGAAATGACGATAAAAACAATCAATGAAACAAATTTGCAAACGTTTGCATGTCAAACTATTTCTAAATGTTTTCATCGCGATTCATGTTAAAAGAATCGGATATTACCTGCTTAAATGATAACCAAATACATTATTAACAGATGGCGCGCATCTCAATAAATACCAAAAGCCACGAGTGATAGTAGTTGTCATTTATGACGAAAATAACACCAATAGATGGCGCTGAAATCAATAAATACTTAAAGAGTTCAAATAAAATTATCAATAACAATTACCTGGGTAGGCCATTTTATTGTTTTGTGACGCTATCAAAGATGGTAAAAAAAGTGGAATTGGTACTGCTTTTATTCCTACTGAGGATATGTTAAAACAATTAAATTCGAAGGATGAAAAAAATATTGAAGAATTGATAAACTTGGAAGAGGAGTAAATTAATGCCTGATGAAAATTATAAGGTGTACTATACAATCCTTTTAAATATTTTGTACTATCTTTTTCATCATACCTAAATCCAACCCTGACAATTACTAACATCTGTGTTTTTATTTGGCGGATGTTTGCTAGCGGGTACCAAACTTTTTTGCTTTTATATGGAGAGTTTTAAATTGGTATACATTGCGATAAAAGTTGTAACAAATCTTGTATATATTACATATACAATTTTTTGAAGTTTTATACTTCGTGTATAGAAAAATAAATCTTTGTTTTCAAAGCAACGAAACTGTTTAGTTCTTTTATAAAACTTCCTTTGTATATGTTATTTATTTCGTATATCAGGTAGTTTCCTAAGAGTTTAGCTACTGCCTTTGCACGAATCGCGCAATTTGCGACACTGTTTCGTACTACTGCCAGTCCGTGTCCCCTTTTAGTCGCCTTTTACGACAGGCAGGGCCCATAACTTACCCTATTCTATGAGCCCGGGACTACAGGGCTGACAGAGTGTACCTCCTAGGTGTGGTGTTGTAGATGACCTAAATACCCGTTCTTCTACAACGTTCCCTAAAGACCTACTACTACCACTTCTTAAGGACGGCGACGTGAATGCAATTGGTCTTAGTTTCTTTAGGAATGTTCCCTGAAGAGCGTACCTTTTGTACCAACAAAGAGAACTTTTTGTACTTAGTGTACCTTCTTATTGGCAAATGATAATCGTTCCTCTAGAACAGCCCCTAAAGAGTATACCGTCTAAAGGACGGCCTCAGTTACAGCTCATGCAGAATGTTCTAAAACAGCATACCTTGTCTACGTTTTAAGAGCATGCGTTCACAAAGCATACCTTCTTGAGGGTGGAGGCGTACGCCCCCTTGAAGTCTTTCCCCCAGCCCATCGTGAAGCATTCCGTGCCCGGCTCGGGGAGTTTCTTGCCCAGACAGGCCACGCCGATGTGGGGAGCTCCGCGGAAAGTGAACGGTTTCTCCAGGAAGAGTAGCGCGATGTTGTTGTACGCTTGAACTGAGAAATAATAGCAATTCTATGAGTCTTCTAACGTTAAAATTTTTAATAGTAATAATCTCTGCAATTATGATTTAACATTAAATTTTGTAGAAAAAGTACGAAAAGATTGTCGCCGCTGTGGGAATCGAACCCACGTCTTCGGCCTGCGGCCTGGCCGCGAATGCCAAAGACGTTCTCTAGTCCCAAACTAAGCAACGCTTGTACTATGGGTACTAGATAAATGATAAACATACTTAAACATACTTTTTTTTGGTAAATAAATATATATTATGCATATATAAACACCCAGACGCTAGAAAAACACTATGTCCATCACACAATACTTTTTCATTAGTGGGGATCGAACCCACACACTCTGGCCCAGGAGGCAGGTACACTACCTACTCATATCCGTTTCATTTTTAGAAAATGTCCTTTTATTCCTGTTTTCAGGGGATGAAAAATATCATTCGAATATGACAGTAAATTTCGCCGCAACATAAAATGATATAATAGCTCGGTCGGTAATCGGGCGGCCCCAAAACAGACGGCCTTGGTTCGTATCAGGATCATTTACACACTTATTTTTTTTACTTATTTTTCTATACCAGATCATTTTCTTTATTTTTTATTTTTTTTTATTTCCAAAATACATAATTTACCAAAAAAAAACCGGTCCTCCAGGTACTAGATAATAAAATAATAAAATAGGTGACATCCACAAACAACTAAGTATAAACAATTTCAAACAATTTGTAAAAGTTACCTTAGTGGCAAGGGCCTACTATAATGTCCAAGAATACATTGAGGACAAGGATGTTTGGAAATGACTCTTGCTCTGCACTTGCAAGACCTGTGACAAATAAGTGTGTATAATTGCATCAAAAAAAAAGAACAAAAAGAACAAGACCGCAGAGTTTCCGGTTCTTCTCTGTGCAGGTCTAGTTTAGTGAACCGGGGGTAGATTTTTTGTTGACGTTCAACAAGAGCTTAAGTTAGGCCTATGTTGAATAAATATACTTTAACTTAAATTGGAATATTAAAACCAGAGCCTCACTTCTGAAGAAGTCATCGTGAGTGACTATCGACTTGACAGGGCGCTCTTGACTCGGATACAGCTCGGAGTCGTCTTTCGTGTCCCACTCGCCGGCCCGACATTTCACCTGGAACGTCCATATCAAAATTAATTTTTTTTTAATGTGAAAAAGTGGCAAACGATCTGGCGGTTCACCTGACGTTAAGTGATGACCGCCGCCCGCGGACATTTTCAACACCGGTTGCAGATGTGTTGCCACCTTTTAATAATGTGGGCCCCGGCTTCACGCACCGAATGAAACGCAGCAGTGTAAAACTTCTACTTCACGCCGCGGCGGTCTTCTGTGAGGTAGTGGCACTAACCCGGACGGACCTGCCCATTCGTGCAACAGCGAACACTGTTGCGTAGTCCTACCACAGTTAAATTTCTCCATAGAACTTAGACTGATTTCCTAAGGCCGCAAGGAATCGAACCCGCGACCACCGAAACCAAAGGCTTAGTAACTGCGCCGCCGAGTTTTTTTTAAGTAAACCGGTTTTTTCCTCCGTTGTAAGGACATTTAATAAACATAAATTTCACGTAGACAAACACCCAGATGCCAAACAACCATCTATGGGTCACACAAATAGTTGCCATGTGGGGATCGAACACACGACGTCGAAGCTAATATCTTGGCGACTGCGCCTTGGTGTCATTTATCTAGGTATACTATTATTTTATGTGTATTTTATTACGTACTAGCTTTTCGCCCGCGGCTTTCTCAGGCTCTAGACTATCTGTGTACCAAATTTCATTTAAATCGGTTCACTAGTTTTGGCGTGAAAGCGAGACAGACAGACAGAGTCACTTTCGCATTTATGATATTGGTATGGATGTAATTTATTTCATACTTTTTCTATTCCTAAAATATATGAAGTATGTCTCTATGCTGTAGAAACGGTGCTATGAATTTAGCCAAAACTTTAACTTAAGCGCCAATACATAAGTATTGTTTGACGTTTATTATTTTAAGAATGCAGAATATACTAAGTTACTATTTTGGTTGATTATTTTAAAATTTAATTTTAGTTAGTTTTATAATTGCACCTGCCTAAAGATCTCACCACACCATAGGTTGACTGGCAGAGAATGCCTTGAGGCATTAAGTCCGCTTATTGTGTTCCGTATTAAAGGAAATGCAATAAAGACTAAATAAATAAAAATAATAAATAAAGTAAAATTATTTATTTAGGTTAGATTTAAATTAACTTATTTTAGTACATACATCCTTATTACACAAATTATTTTGCATATCTACGGTAAACTTTTTACATTGAGCTAAATAAAACCGTATACCGATGCCATTAAAAAGCAAGAAACAAAACAAAGCTACCACAGCGCGCTTTGTTGAATACGAAATAATGGAGGGAAAAACGTGAGACGTTCCCGTTTATAAAATTACAATATGTATGTTTATATATACGATTCTATATCTCGAACTCCTCCTAAGCCGCTGGACCGATTTTAATAATTTTTTTGCGTATCTTCTGGTCGATTCGAGAATGTTTTAGATTCACAATTCGATCCGCTTTTATTTAATTTTTTATTTATAATTTCCTGTCGGATTTAAGGCATGTACAGCACAACGTCTGTCGGTCCGCTAGTACATACATATAATATTAAATTTATTACAATTAAAACGAGTTCTACCGACGCGGAATGTTTTTCCCGCGATGTTTCCTCAAAATTAGTCATTTGTAACGTTGAATGTCTTGTCGCTGACGTCACGGCGGGTCCGAATGCGTAATAATCTACGTGTAAGTCGACGAACGCATTTCTATACACGTTTGTATGTATGCAAAACGCATTTAAAATCAAGTTTCATTAACTTGCAGACATCCGAATACTTTGGAATATTTAAATTGACCAGCCAAGAATGTATCGGAACTATTTATATATTGTTAAGTAGTTACGAATTCAGATATATACCTGTAAAACGTTTTAGATATATTGTAAGATTAAATATTTTTAACGAAATGCCATTCTAATTTTTGTCCAATAAAGAATTAAAGTTAAACAGTAAGTTCTAAGCAAATGCTATTTGAAGAGACACAACAATCTATTATTCAAATATCTATAACCAGTAACATGACGTTCATAGTATTTAAAAAATAAATCACTTTGATTTTGTAACAGGAAACATTTGTTATTCTGTAGCGTTGTGTCAAAACCTATAGGGTACTTCTGATTTACCTAGAATTGTCTATTTTATAAAGCAAGGTCTTACAGCACAAGTAGAGGGTAGACAAATCGCGAAAAATAAAAAAAAGTTGAAAATTAAGTTAAATTTTGGTATTAAAACATGTAGAAAAAGTACGAAAAGATTGTCGCCACTGTGGGAATCGAACCCACGTCTTCGGCATTCGCGGCCTGACGCTCTAGCCACTGAGCTAAACGGCTGATAGCCACAGCGACGAAAATCTTAACGCCTTCTTTCTACATTGCTATTTAGCATTTGAAGCAATGCTTGGCGAATCTATTGTTATATCCTTTCCAGCATACAAACAATTTCGAATATCGTTTTACAACGATAATTCGAACGAGAGATGTCGCCATTGCTTTTTATAAATTTAAAGTTTTTTATAGTGCTAATCTCTGCACCTAAGATTGAATATTAAAACATGTAGAAAAAGTACGAAAAGATTGTCGCCGCTGTGGGAATCGAACCCACGTCTTCGGCATTCGCGGCCTGACGCTCTAGCCACTGAGCTAAACGGCTGATAGCCACAGCGACGAAAATCTTAACGCCTTCTTTCTACATTGCTATTTAGCATTTGAAGCAATGCTTGGCGAATCTATTGTTATATCCTTTCCAGCATACAAACAATTTCGAATATCGTTTTACAACGATAATTCGAACGAGAGATGTCGCCATTGCTTTTTATAAATTTTAAAGTTTTTTATAGTGCTAATCTCTGCACCTAAGATTGAATATTAAAACATGTAGAAAAATTACGAAAAGATTGTCGCCGCTGTGGGAATCGAACCCACGTCTTCGGCATTCGCGGCCTGACGCTCTAGCCACTGAGCTAAACGGCTGATAGCCACAGCGACGAAAATCTTAACGCCTTCTTTCTACATTGTTATTTAGCATTTGAAGCAAAGCTTTTATCTATTGTTATCAATCCGTTTTCCAGCATACAAACAATTTCGAATATCGTTTTACAACGATAATTCGAACGAGAGATGTCGCCATTGCTTTTTATAAATTTTAAAGTTTTTTATAGTGCTAATCTCTGCACCTAAGATTGAATATTAAAACATGTAGAAAAAATTACGAAAAGATTGTCGCCGCTGTGGGAATCGAACCCACGTCTTCGGCATTCGCGGCCTGACGCTCTAGCCACTGAGCTAAACGGCTGATAGCCACAGCGACGAAAATCTTAACGCCTTCTTTCTACATTGTTATTTAGCATTTGAAGCAAAGATTTTCGTCGCTGTGGCTATCAGCCGTTTTCCGTTCTTATTCTTTTCGTACTTTTTCTACATGTTTTAATATTCAATCTTAGGTGCAGAGATTAGCACTATAAAAAACTTTAAAATTTATAAAAAGCAATGGCGACATCTCTCGTTCGAATTATCGTTGTAAAACGATATTCGAAATTGTTTGTATGCTGGAAAGGATATAACAATAGATTCGCCAAGCATTGCTTCAAATGCTAAATAACAATGTAGAAAGAAGGCGTTAAGATTTTCGTCGCTGTGGCTATCAGCCGTTTAGCTCAGTGGCTAAAGCGTCAGGCCGCGAATGCCGAAGACGTGGGTTCGATTCCCACAGCGGCGACAATCTTTTCGTAATTTTTCTACATGTTTTAATATTCAATCTTAGGTGCAGAGATTAGCACTATAAAAAACTTTAAAATTTATAAAAAGCAATGGCGACATCTCTCGTTCGAATTATCGTTGTAAAACGATATTCGAAATTGTTTGTATGCTGGAAAGGATATAACAATAGATTCGCCAAGCATTGCTTCAAATGCTAAATAACAATGTAGAAAGAAGGCGTTAAGATTTTCGTCGCTGTGGCTATCAGCCGTTTAGCTCAGTGGCTAGAGCGTCAGGCCGCGAATGCCGAAGACGTGGGTTCGATTCCCACAGCGGCGACAATCTTTTCGTACTTTTTCTACATGTTTTAATATTCAATCTTAGGTGCAGAGATTAGCACTATAAAAAACTTTAAAATTTATAAAAAGCAATGGCGACATCTCTCGTTCGAATTATCGTTGTAAAACGATATTCGAAATTGTTTGTATGCTGGAAAGGATATAACAATAGATTCGCCAAGCATTGCTTCAAATGCTAAATAACAATGTAGAAAGAAGGAGTTAAGATTTTCGTCGCTGTGGCTATCAGCCGTTTAGCTCAGTGGCTAGAGCGTCAGGCCGCGAATGCCGAAGACGTGGGTTCGATTCCCACAGCGGCGACAATCTTTTCGTACTTTTTCTACATGTTTTAATATTCAATCTTAGGTGCAGAGATTAGCACTATAAAAAACTTTAAAATTTATAAAAAAGCAATGGCGACATCTCTCGTTCGAATTATCGTTGTAAAACGATATTCGAAATTGTTTGTATGCTGGAAAGGATATAACAATAGATTCGCCAAGCATTGCTTCAAATGCTAAATAACAATGTAGAAAGAAGGCGTTAAGATTTTCGTCGCTGTGGCTATCAGCCGTTTAGCTCAGTGGCTAGAGCGTCAGGCCGCGAATGCCGAAGACGTGGGTTCGATTCCCACAGCGGCGACAATCTTTTCGTACTTTTTCTACATGTTTTAATATTCAATCTTAGGTGCAGAGATTAGCACTATAAAAAACTTTAAAATTTATAAAAAGCAATGGCGACATCTCTCGTTCGAATTATCGTTGTAAAACGATATTCGAAATTGTTTGTATGCTGGAAAGGATATAACAATAGATTCGCCAAGCATTGCTTCAAATGCTAAATAGCAATGTAGAAAGAAGGCGTTAAGATTTTCGTCGCTGTGGCTATCAGCCGTTTAGCTCAGTGGCTAGAGCGTCAGGCCGCGAATGCCGAAGACGTGGGTTCGATTCCCCAGCAGCGGCGACAATCTTTTCGTACTTTTTCTACATGTTTTAATATTCAATCTTAGGTGCAGAGATTAGCACTATAAAAAAAACTTTAAAATTTATAAAAAGCAATGGCGACATCTCTCGTTCGAATTATCGTTGTAAAACGATATTCGAAATTGTTTGTATGCTGGAAAGGATATAACAATAGATTCGCCAAGCATTGCTTCAAATGCTAAATAACAATGTAGAAAGAAGGCGTTAAGATTTTCGTCGCTGTGGCTATCAGCCGTTTAGCTCAGTGGCTAGAGCGTCAGGCCGCGAATGCCGAAGACGTGGGTTCGATTCCCACAGCGGCGACAATCTTTTCGTACTTTTTCTACATGTTTTAATATTCAATCTTAGGTGCAGAGATTAGCACTATAAAAAACTTTAAAATTTATAAAAAGCAATGGCGACATCTCTCGTTCGAATTATCGTTGTAAAACGATATTCGAAATTGTTTGTATGCTGGAAAGGATATAACAATAGATTCGCCAAGCATTGCTTCAAATGCTAAATAACAATGTAGAAAGAAGGAGTTAAGATTTTCGTCGCTGTGGCTATCAGCCGTTTAGCTCAGTGGCTAGAGCGTCGGGCCGCGAATGCCGAAGACGTGGGTTCGATTCCCACAGCGGCGACAATCTTTTCGTACTTTTTCTACATGTTTTAATATTCAATCTTAGGTGCAGAGATTAGCACTATAAAAAACTTTAAAATTTATAAAAAGCAATGGCGACATCTCTCGTTCGAATTATCGTTGTAAAACGATATTCGAAATTGTTTGTATGCTGGAAAGGATATAACAATAGATTCGCCAAGCATTGCTTCAAATGCTAAATAACAATGTAGAAAGAAGGCGTTAAGATTTTCGTCGCTGTGGCTATCAGCCGTTTAGCTCAGTGGCTAGAGCGTCAGGCCGCGAATGCCGAAGACGTGGGTTCGATTCCCACAGCGGCGACAATCTTTTCGTACTTTTTCTACATGTTTTAATATTCAATCTTAGGTGCAGAGATTAGCACTATAAAAAACTTTAAAATTTAAATTTTGGTACTTACAAGTTTTCGCGAAAACCAAAATTTGCCCATATTTTTTCTTTTTTTTATGTGAAAAGTTGCCAAGCGAGCAGGTGGTCCACCTGATGTTAAGAGAATACCACCGCCCATGGACATCTGCTACACCCGAGGGTTTGCAGATGCGTTGACAACCTTTTGAAACTTGGGCTCCGGCTACCTCACTCACCAGACGAAACGCGGAATTACTATACTTCCATTTCACGCCGGTCTTGCGTGAGGTCGTGGCACTTACCCGGACGGAGCTGCCCGTTCGTGCAACAGAGAAGCCTGTTGCGTGGCCCTACCACATCTGCAACGGGCCGTCGAATCGTTGAGTGCTCTACTTACTTCGTTCTCGTAAAGCCCGTCCACCTTGTGCGCTGCCGTGACGACGACCGAGGGGTGTATGATGGAGCCTCCGCCCAGGAAGTGGTCCTGGGACCATTCCACTTCGGGGGCAGTGTTCCTGCAAAGTTGCCAGCCGGTGAATTTTACGCGAATTGATCGGTCAGCATTGGTGAGCGGTGCAAGCTTTCGCCCGCCATGGATCCTTGACGGTCAACACAATCTGTCAATGGGCGGTGGTTATTATTTATTTTCTTAATTCGTAACTGGCCAGCACTATCAGGTGAACCGTCAGCTCGCTTGCCACGTTCTCACATAAAAAAAACTTTAACTTAAAAAGTAATAAGCAGTTTTTTTTTCAAATACAATAGATCTTTGTGTCTCTTCAAGTAGTATAGTATTTGAAATAATATGCTAATCATATATTATGTAAACCGGTAAAAGGTGATGGTCGTAGTTGTCGTAGCATTTAAAAAGTTATTCAAATCAATTGTGGAACAGGAAACACGCTATATTGTAGTACAGCTAGTGAATTATATTAACTATATTACTATACTATACTATACTAGGTATACTAGTTTACTTATACACACACAGGTACAGGCTTCGTTCGTGCACGTCAAATGTGGTTGTTTGCGAAATAAAACCGTTTAAAAACTTTTAAATTAAACGGTTTTATTTTATGTGCACTGAAAACTACAATATTGTATTGTCATCTAAATTAAATGTGTGTACCAAATTTCAGATCAAACTGACAACGGGAAGGTGCTTAAATTTCAATTTCTAATTTAGACCCAAATAAATAAATAAATTCCGTACGGGTCGAGCTAAATAAAACCGTTTAAAAATATAAGAACCAGCTAACATATGAGTTATCAAATCGAAAATGAAACCTATACAACACCGATTATGTACTACTTTAAATAGCACTAATATTGCCAACTATAATAATTCACACCGATGGATAACAGGACGCGGCGCGGTCCCCGTAGCTTTAAAACAATGCAACAAACTTATATCACTTGGTGGCAAAATCAGAATCTAAGAGGTTCGATTAGATTTCATGGCCTAGGTAAGGGAATTCAATAAAATATGAACACTATTTTTATTCATCATCACCATCATTTCAGTCTGTTTGAGTCCACCGCTGAACAAAGGCCTCCCCCATAGACTGCCACGAAGTACGATCCTGAGCCACCTGCATCCATCGACTTCCCGCACATTGTTATGTATACTATTTTATTTCTCGTCATAATCTCCATCAAATTCTGTACACTTCTTCCACCTGCTTTACAAGGCTTTGATGCCTATCCTATTCAGATTCCAATATCTTTATTTAATATAGAAACATTACACTTATTGATGGTAAAAAAAACACTAATACCGGTTCGGAAAAAAATCCACTGACCTGAGAAGAACCGGCGAAAGAAACTCGGCGGACCATTTTTTTTTAGCATAATTTAACAGAATTTTGAAAAAAAAAACATGTTTATACTTTTTTTGTCAATTAATCTAAATTTAACGTTAAATTCTACTTTCAATTTTATTATTTTTCTACTATTACATTCTACAATAAGTATTAAATTCTACTTGAAATAACCTGGAGCGACCAATTAATTTCCAGAGCGTGTTATCATTTTATATTCAATAACAATTATATAAGGGATCAATGATGTTTTAATAAAGATGACGCATGTCCATACTGCGCTACGTTTAAAAATTGTTCTGCTTTACATTATATGACATATCTCTATATATAAAAATGAATCGCTGAATGTGTTGCTAAGCGCAAATCTAGAGAACAGCTGAACCGATTTCGCTAATTATTTTTTTATAATAATCCTTGAAGTACAAGGATGGTGGAGAGCAAAATTTAAAAAATTGCCTGAAATGGTATAATAACAACACTTTTCTATATTCCCGTACAAAAGATTCGTAATAATACTTAAAAGACAATTTGAACTTTAATACCATACTAAAAGTTTAAGTGTTAGTGGAAGGGTTCCGGGAAGTCAAATCAAGTGAGTACTGTGGTAAAATGTCACTTGAAATGTAAACGTCTCTTTGCTGTGCATCACTAAATAGTATGAAACAAAGTCGTCCCGCTGTCTGTCTGTCCCTTTGTATGCTTAGATCTTTAAAACTACACAACGGATCTTGATGTGGTTTTTTTACTAGATAGAGTGATTCAAGAGGAAGGTTCATAATATGTATAATACATTGCACCCGTGCGAGGCCGGGGCGGATTGCTAGTATTCAATAATAATTCTATTAGGGGTCAATGACGTTTCAATAAAGATGGCGCTTGTCATACTGCGCGGCGTTTAAAAATTGTTCTGCATTACATTACATGACATAAATGTTAAAAATAATAATAATTAAAAAAAATATGTTCAAGTGAATATGACAGATGATAAGGAACGTGATACGGAAAGAGATAGCAGTCTATAGAATTAAAATCCGATATCACCAATAGGTGTAATTAGAATGCCTGAGTTTCGTTGCGATAGTGTCATATCTACCTCGTATTTGTATATAATATCATTTTAAGGGGTAATATGGGTCTTACTCTATACTACTTAAAATATACCGCAATTTTGACTTCTTTATTCGATGAAAATGTTTAGACCACAAAAAAAGGTCAAATCAGGAAAATGAGCCGAAATGGGACTGTATTCGAAACGTCAATCCTACAATTGGGACATGGATTCAACGATTGGATGAAATAACATATTCTTTCTGAGCAATCCCGGGCTTTTCTCTTCGATTTTATCACGTATATATAGGCTGGTACATTACTTTAAACATTTTTAAACGGCCTTGCGAAAGAAGATAATGTCAAACTACATTGAGGATACCGTATTGTTGCTCATTAAAGAAAAATTATGATCAAGCCTTAAGATCGTTTTTAAATCGCCTCCGTAAAACGCTCGTACGTAAAAAGAGTGAAAACTTTTATAGCGTAGCAGGTTTACCGTTCATAACCATATTACGAGTTACTCTTAGGACAGTTGTGGATCAAGATCCAGGTATCAGTGGGAAGATGTAGACCACATCGGAGAACGCACCTCAAGAGTCGTGATAGCTAGAGCCGTGATAGCTCAGTGTCCGGGCGCTCGCCTTTAATTCAATATACTCGAGTAACCTGAGCTCGATCCCCAGTGCCGGCACCAATGAAGTTTTTAACCTTAAGTGCTGACTTATCACGTGCTCCCCGGTGAAGGAGAACATCGTGAGGAAACCTGGATATTTTCGAAATAACATTAAAATAAATATTTCGAAGATATATGAAGTCCGCCAATCCGCAGGGGGACCGCGTGGTGGACTGTGCCCTGATACCCTCTGTATAGAGGAAGCCTTTGCCCAGCTGTGGGACATGTAAAGGCTGTTACTTACCTCAAGAGTGCCACCATCCACGGGAACTCCCCGAAGTCGGCGGTGGTCTCAGCTCCCGGCTTGACCCTCACCTCCGTAGCCCCGGGGTTGCTCCAGCCGCAGGTGGGCGGTGGCCCGTTCTCCGGCTCCTTCTCCCCTCCCGTCACGAACTCATCTTTCAGGCAGCAGATCTGCAGGAAGTTCGGGCATGCCCCTATCCTAAACGGGAGTGAGTTACGCCACCGGTGGATCGAATAATGGTCTCTTAGAGACACGGTCTCGTCACGAATTGTGGCACGCCTCGCGACGCTCCTCTCTGTTGCACGGATGGGCAGGTCCGTCCGGGTAAGTGCCGCGACCTCACAGAAGACCGGCGTGAAGTGCAAGTGTTAAACTTCCGGTGGATGAGGGTAGCCAGGCTCATTAAAAGCAACGTCACTAATTGGAATAACTGCAACCAGCGGCCAGGGCGGCGGTTATCACTTAACAGCAGGTGAACCGCCAGCTCGTTCGCCACCATCTCATATAAAATAAAAATAAAATAAATGAAAAAATAAATATTTTAGGACACATTTCTACACAACATTTTCCATTCCCAAACTAAGCAAAGCTTGTACTATGGGTACTAGAAGAGTGATAAACATACTTTTCTTTTGTAAAAAAATACATATTATACATGTATAAACACCCAGACACTAGAAAAACACCATGTTCATCACACAAAATTTTTCCAGTAGCGGGGATCGAACCCACACCCTCTGGCGCAGGAGGCAGGTGCACAACCCACTACGCCATTCGGGTCACCCAGGTACCAGGAGCGTAAACATGGCGTAAACATTGCGAACATAAAAAACGTCATTGGCGACTTAGGGGAAACTGTACTTGAATTCTCTTCTGCATGTCCCATTAAGTTAAAGATGTTCTCATGACGAGACCGTACATACTATAGCTGATTTAAAGCGTGTGTCATGCTTTAGCCGTCTATCATAGATGTGATTATGGCATTATGATGAAGAGATAGACTAAGAAAGCTAACCTTAGGTCGATGAAGGCATCATTGTTGATCGTGTTTGTGTCGGTGTTGCATTGGAAGTTGGGCACGCAGATGCCGGACTTTCCGTCGCCCGTGACGCAGGACTTTCCGTCTGGAATCAAGATCAATACTGTACTCGGCCGTTAATCCAAGCTTGTACAATGGTGCAGCGGTAAAGGATACTGGGGAATACTGAAAGCAAAACGGTCCTTTTTGTGTAAAACGGTGGCGAACGAGCTGGCGTTTCACCTGATGTTAAGTGATAACCGCCGCCCATTGACATTTGCAACACCCGTAGGGTTGCGGATGCGTTGCTACTTTTTATAAAGCTTGGCCCCGGCTACGGCATAAATATAATACTTCTACTTCACGCCGGTCTCCTGTGAGGTCGTGGTACCCACCCGGACGGACCTGCCCATTCGTGCAACAGCGAAGAGTGTTCCGTGGTCCTCCACAGCATCTGTATCGGAAACATTTGTACTTTTCTATTTTGTCTCCCAAATCTTGGCGACACACATGTACAGTGGTAGCCACTAGTCCACGCTAGTCCTTAACCGTGTCATACTGTTTAAGGCACTCAGACAATGACAGAACGAGCATATTTTAAACGGTCCGCACTCAGGGAGACTTTGAGGAACACTCAAAAGATGTCTTCTAATCGTAACGATGACGTCATCCGTGACGTAAACTGTACCTGCCGGTAGCGCAGTGAAGACGCTCATTTGGGGCTGTTCGGCCCGTGCCACCAAAGCTCCTGGCACCAATGCGCCTCCCAGGATCAACGCCGCTGCCACGAAGAAGGTGGCCCTGTAGTATTTGGAACAATATATATCCCCACACTAAACAATTACCGTTTTCCCAATGCTGAAAAGAACAGTGTAAGCAACTTTCTGTTTGTGATATCGAATGGATCATGCCAGGCGGCTCCTGCTGTTGCATGATTCGATACCGATGAAGTAAGAGGCCTTATAACTGTTGTAAGGTAAATTATTTATGCTATTCATACTTCTTCGATTGTTGAGTACTCGTGGCCAACCCTCCCAAAGAATATTGTCATCCATACTTAACCGGTGCGTGTGTTGTAATGGCTAGCGGTAACTGGTTATCGGGTGCATTTCTACATTAAACTTCCTATAGCTCAAACAAAAACCGCCCAAGTGCGAGTCGGACTCGCGCACAAAGGGTTGCATACCATTATCTATAAAAACAGCAAAAAAACATTTATGGGAGCCGTACAAAATTTTTTATTTATTCTGTTTATTAGTATATTTTGTTAAGCGGCAACTGAAATACATAATCTGTGAAAATTTCAACTGTCTACCACGGTTCATGAGATAAAGCCTGGTGACAATCAGACATACAGATAAACAGACAGAGACCGGAGTCTTAGTAATAAGGTCCCGTTTTACCCTTTGGGTACGGAACCCTAAAAGCATCGGCCGCTTTCGGCCCGTATCGGCGTTTGTAAACTCAACACTCAATTTAAACGAGTGTTGAGTTCACAAACGCCGCGTTTAATTAAGTAGTGACAGCCGTTGAATTAAGTAGTTGAGAATCACCATTGTGCGGGATGCAAGAGCATATAATATCTCTACATTATTCCTTGAAAACCCCGCGGGAAATACGCAATCGTTGACTCATCATTGTGAAGTATGTGCAACGGTGTATACTTAAGGAAGGATCGGCCGCTATGTTCAATTTCATTTGCATCGCTTGTGATGTCGACGCGCCTGCGGTGGATTACTTTTATTTTATTTTATTTTATTGGGGATAACAAACAGCTACAATATATGATATGAACAGATCTGTTGCGTTGATATAGTAATAATATTACGGCCCACTACATTATCCACGTATTGATCATACAATATTATTTTAATGGAAGCTTCTAGATACGATAAAAAAAAAACAATAATAAATAGCACAAAGATAAAAAAGGAACACTTCAAGAATACAAAAAAGTTACGTATTATTTGTAAGCGTTATAATAACAATAACTTGTCTATACATCAGTTATATTACAATTAAATACATTAGCTGCATCCTGTGGTTACAGGAAAATATAAGTTTACGATAACAACTTTAGAATCGGAAGGTTGTTACTAAATTATGACTGCTGCCCATCTTTTCCACGCTTAAAATGTGGGCTGGACTTTTCTTTAATAAAAAGTTGGCCAGCGAGTACGCGGTTCACCTGATGTTAAGTAATTATATGTGTGATACAACATATGAAAGGTTGCAAATGCTTTGCAAATACTAAAAAAGTGGGCATAAGGTGCCCACTGACCGGTCAAATTCGTAAGTGCACCTATTACCACTTCGCGCCGGTGTATTGTTAGGCCGTGGTGCGTCCCCGGACGAGCCTGCCCATTCCTGCAACAGCCAAAGCTGCTCCGTGGTCCCCCCGGGCCTACCATCCGGTTAAGTACAACGACCTCAAAGAAGACCGGCGTGAAGTAGAAGTGTCATACTTTTGCTTTTCTTCTGGTGATTAGAGGTAGCCGGCGCCCATATTGTTAAAAGGGGAAGCATCTGCAACCCTACGGGTGTTGCAAATGTCAATGGGCGGCGCTTATCACTTACCTCAGGTGAACCGCCAGCTCGCTAGCCACCTTCTTACATGAAAAAAGAACTGCCCAAGTGACCGCCCCACCGAGTTCCGTAAAAATTATGTTGTATTAATTATACGAGCCCGAGTTAAATATTTTTTTATTCTGTTTTTTTTAGTATTTGTTATAGCGGCTACTGAAATACATCGTCTGTGTAAATTCCAATTTCTAATTTCTTGGGTTCGATTTCCAAAAGATTTCTAAAGAAATCTAGTATTTGTGTCTTGTTCTTTTTGTAGTTATTGAGCAATTTCTCCGGATCTGGGTTGATTACCTAAGAGAGATTTAGAGGTCCGGAGTCCTCGGGCAACAAGGGAGTGGAGGCCCCTTGGCCCCAAATTAATTTCCATTGATTTCTGTCAATATTTTGTTGTGTCGACCCCACTTAGGTGAGATAAAGGCAGAGGAAAGAAAAAGAAGAAATTGAAAGAGAACGTTGTGTTGAATTGTAGAAAAGCAATTCAGTGATGGTGTGAACATATAAGAGGGATATATTAAGGAATACAGCATAATATAACCTCTTCCTTTTGAAGTCGGTTAAAAACGCACTGCGATACAAAATTTAGTCCTCATAACATATATGCAGTAAATACCAGTGTGTCGCGACGTTCATCCTAACGGAACAACCGCGAAGGGAGCGACGCGTACGAAAACATGACAGGCGATCAGCCTCTCACCGTGTAATGAAACTGCGCCAATGGTTTTTCTTCGTAAGACAAACAAATGATAAGAAAAGAGCACGACACTGGAGTTCACTATCGAAGGTCTAGTAAGTTTTTAGGTTAGTTTGGTATTTTTTGTGCAACTGTAAGCTTTTACAAGCAGTCTTATTTTGGCGGTGCTTTGCATTCTGAGAAAATATTAATATTTAACGTTAATGACAAACGGCTATGGTATATTATCTATACAGATAAATAAAATTGGAGTGTCTGTTTGTAATATTAAAATAACCGCTTTTTACTAAATGCATGCATAATATACCAAAATATTTTTTTTTACAATTTTTGTCTGTCTGTCTGTCTCTTAGTTCCGGCTAATCTCTGAAACGGCTGGACCAATTTGGACGGGAATTTCACTGGCACATAGCTGATGTAATAAGGAGTAACTTAGGCTACTTTTATTTTAGATTTTTTTTTATTTTAAATTCCACGCGGACGAAGTCGCGGGCACAGCTAGTATGGAATATAATCATCCTCATCATCATCAAGATTATAATAGTCGCGGGCAACCGGTGGATGAAAATGGCAAAGTGTCGTTCGTTGTGGCGTTCTAAGGGGGAGGTCTATGTCCAATAGTAGAGGTCTTGCGGAATATAATCACTAATATATTATTACGCCGTATTGCGAAGTTATATTAGGCACGTACAAAAGAGCGCTTTACGAAAAACCTCAAGAGCACGCGAAAATGTAAACCTGGCAGACGCGATGCACTGATGTTCACAAAGCCCCGATAAAGATGACCTGCCTACAATCGCAATTCCAATCGAATCCTTCCAGCAGTGCTAAAAGGGTGACACACAAAGTACCGCTCTCAGATATAAAGTTTATTTCTTTGTCAAATAACCATTGCTATGGTTTTAAATTCACATCCTTTTAAATTCTTAAAGACGAACAAAAGACTTTAAATAGTAGTTGTTAGTTGACGTCTTTGGTTGCGGCCGAGAGTCCGCAATCAAGTGCCATTTTGATATTACATACCCCATCGTCGTTTCTTGGAGCCCGCAAAGACGCCGCGCACGTGCGTCGCAATCGGCTCCCGACCTTCGAATGGTGAGGTTCCTTCGCCGGACGCCCGCCGGTGGACTTGAAGACGGCGCGAACAAGTTCGCGGTTGTAGGCGGCCCGCGGACTCGGCGTCTGCCGGCGTCCAAATACTTTCCATCCAATTAAATGCGTCAAATTTATGTTTCCTTTTTTTGTGACGTGTAGTTCGCCGTTAGCCCGTCGGCTTTGACATCGTCGGCGGAAGAAGTTCACGGGCAGACTACCCGCGGACTTGGGAGAACAACGTAGCCGGTGCACAACGAGGACACGCAGACGCCGTCCGCTCCGCTGCACTCCGCAATACACTGCTAACGAAAGATAGATAGCACGTATTTGATGTATTTAATACAAAGCATTATTTAGCTCTCAGCTATTTTATACTGTATTGACTCTAGTGTAAATTCTATACTCTCTCTTCTGGAAAAACTTCTTGTATACATACTGTTGCCCTCGATTACGAATAACCCGATAGAACATGACGATTTAGAACAGGAGCCAAGAGGCTTTATGAGGTATTTTTAAACTGAACCTAGCGCACGCAATCCGTACTATATTAGGAGCTTTGTACTTGAATATAAACATTTGATAACAACATCAGCATAATTTAACTTGGACTCGTAGTATTAACAACTCGCAGTTCCGTTCTGTATTTAGGCAATTCATTTCAAATCTCAGTCCAGGGTAAGTACGCTTTTTAGTTTAGTTTTTAACACGAAACTGCTGCGTGGCCATACCACTATGGCTAGAGCGTATCACACAGTTAAACTTCTTTAGCACGCATGTATCTTTTTTTAACGATTTAATTTTTTATATACTGTGGTAGGGCCACGCAGCAGTCTCGGCTGTTGCATGAATGGGCAGGCTCGTCCGGTTAAGTACCACGACCTCTCGGAAGACCGGCGCAAAGTGGTAGTATGACATATACTTTCGCGTTTCGCGTTTGGTCTGGTGAGTGAGGGAGCCGGAGCCCAATTTTCAAAAGGTTGTAAACGCATCTGTAACCCTCGGATGTAGCAGATGTCCATGGGCGGCGGTATTCATTTAATATCTGGTGAACCGCCTGCTCGCTTGTCAACTTTTCACATAAATAAAAAAAAAATAACTGTCGAACATCACGCACGGCGGCAGTTTTATTTATGCTGTAACACAAATAATTATAAGGATTATAGGCCTGCATCATTTTATTTTTGTGGTTTCGTATGTAATAACTTACAGAACTTTAAGATCCAAACGAAAGTATAAATACTTAAATAAATTTACAAAATTACCCTACGATAGACAGTCGATAACACAAGAAGCTAGCCGAATGCCTCGACACGAACCAAGCTTAAATACCTGTGATATAGTACACAGGTTGCATATGGGGACAGCGGTTGGCCGCCATTGAACGCTGCGTGCTCGACTCGCCTTAATCAGGAAAACGTTGCGCCGGTCAACAGGGTCAGCTGTTGCTTATCTACGAACGCACTTCGCATGTATAACGCGGCTGATTTCGAACGTCATCTTGAGTACGGCCGTTCTCACTTGGCCGAGTTCGACGGTTACGAAGGCCATCTCATTATAATTTACAGGCTGCTGTCTAAAGCAGATCTGTGACTATAAAAGCCTGAGCTAAAAATTTCTTGAAGTCGACGACAAGCCCCAAGTCCCACGCCTGTCACAGTTGAGCGATCACATGCTGAATTATTTTTTTGTTTTTTTTTAAACATTGCCATCACTTAAGGATAATATTATCCTGTTTTGTAATAAACGTTTTACAAACAAACTTTACGCAGACAAACACCTAGATGCGAAATAACTATCTGTGTCACACAAATAGTTGTCCCGTGTGGGCATCGAACCCACCACCCCTGACGCCGAAGCCAATACCTTGGCGACTGCGACACGGAGTAATATTCAAAGAATTACCATATATTAGAGGAGCCAGAGACAAGATTAGCTTAAAGCGCGCTTCTGCCGAAAAAGATTGGTCAGTTCTTACTATCCGTCAAGTGGAACATACCTCTACAAGACAGAACTATGAAGATTTGCACCATATGAACATATTTGATAAGCTAAACCACTCGGAATAGCGACTCTTTTCAAGGTTGAGACAAACAAGACATTTGAAATTTTCAAGGATGGTGTATTTCTGTTGCCGCTATAACAATAAATACTAAAAACAGAATAAAATAAAAAATATTTAACGGTGCTCCGAACAACAGACATGAATTTTTTTGCGTTTTTATAGATAATTGTACGGAACCCTACGTGCGCGAGTCCGACGCGCTTTGGCGAGTTTTTTTTATTTGTATGCATTATAGAGACTTTACTAAAGTAAACACATACGATAAGGAATGACAGAAAACTAGAATTCGTTGGGTTTACCAAAACATCTACTATGCTCAATATTATTCTGGGTTTTCACCCCAGCCTTGTCATCTGCGCGGCTTTTCTTAAATAAACCGATTTCAATGAGAAAATTTGATTGTTATTTACAAAAGTAATTACAATATTAAATACTGTTACTGACTGACTGACATATCCAACAAACCTAGCTCACACTGCGTCGTCGAGCTAAGAGCTAGCTGCAATTCTTCTCTGAATACTAAATAAGTCCTACTTTGAGGAGAGCCCTAAGAATTACATTAATTAAAGTATATTTTCTTCTATTTATAAATTAAAACCACGTAAGAGACCTTGAGGAGAGACGGAATGTAAATATCAGGCCACACAGTAGCTTCAGCTGTAAGGACCAGCTTGCTTCGTGATGTATACCACATCTCACAGAAGACCGGTGAAAATCGGAAGTATTCATATAATTCTTATTTATTGTCTTATTACATTATTATTATTTTAGCCTGCGTGTTAAAAGCTCGGTATTCTTGCAACACCTCCGAGGTTTCGTAGGTATTTGCGCGTTTGTGGTCCCGTGGCTTGTTTTCACCACCAGTGAAAGCTGGCCCTATTGTCCTTTAAACACATTTTTTTAAACTACAATACGGCCAGCGTTTCAAGTAAACATTTAAGTTTTTCTTCTTTTTATCTAACTAATAACTTAGCTCGGGTCCTTTTATAATTTGTCACGATTTTAGTGTATAGAAACCCTGTTTTAGTTCGTCAAATTAAAGCTCATTATTTTTACTTATGTATGTACGTCGTAGGTATATCTTTATCAAAATAGCACATTGGTGCAAACATTAGGTAGCATTTAAGGAAATTAGCCGATTAATTAAATCAGTCAATTCCCGCGTTTGGTTTTTGTTAGTTAATAGTATAAACATAGTCGTAACAACAAGCACAACTTGTTTCTTTTCCTCAACAGAACACAGCACAGTACGCGGTTCACCGTGATAGCGGGAACTCGTGAATACCGCGAACCGCGCTCGAATATATTATCTGTGGCGATCGCAGCTGTCAAAGTAAAATGAAGTGAGATTATATAATTTATTTTTATTGTCTGCTTTAGTTGTTTACTTGTCTATGTATGTATACATGCTTTAATAATTTAATTTAACCTTTTGTCTTTGTTATTTATTTATTGTGTGTACTCTCAGCATTATTGTGTGAAGGTCACTCATCAGTGCTTGAATTTAACTTTGTTTTTTAACAAAACGCATTATAAAGAAATACAGAATTAAGTATGTAACTATTGGTAATCCTAATAATACCAAACATTTTTTAACATTACATAATTATATATGTATGTAGAAAACTATTTTCTTTGTACTACAATATTAGTCATTAAGTATACATAAAAAATGTATGTATTCATTATCTCGAGAAGTGAAGTCAATTTAAACAAACATGTCGTATCTAAGGTGCTTAACCTAAATGAAAAAAGTGAACTGTGAACTTGGACTTACTCCCACCAGCATGAAAAACCCAGAGCGCAGAAATAAATTGTTCTCTTACGCCTCCCGTACGCTTTTTGGCTCAAAACATGCATCTTCAAACCAGGATATTTTTTTGTCCATTCCCGTGCGGGCGTTCTAAAATACATTAATTTAGGCCCCAAAAATAAATTTCATTGTAGTTTTAGGTATTACTTCAAACGCTTTTCAGTCTCTTTCGCTAAGGAAAGGAAATCTTTCATTAAGGAAAAATGTCAATACATTGAATTATTATACATTGCTTTTATGAAGTTTTGAGACAATTTTTTTTTTTAATGAATACGTTAACTTTATTCTATTTTTGTCAATAACTGCAAACGTAAGTTTTATAGTGTTGTTTTATTATATTTGATGAATTAAGGAAGTTATGGGGTTCCGATAAAGAAATAACTGAGAAATAATGTATAGAGCACATAATTATCCAAACAGGTGACTCCATGGCGCAGTCGCCAAGAGTCACACAAATAATTGACCCCACACGGAACAATTATTTGTGTGACCCACAGACATTTGTTTCGCATCTGCTTGTTTCATTTTAAAACGTTCTAACAACACAGGTTAATGTTATTCTAAAGTAAAAGCAAATTTAAAAAAAAATTACAAATGTTCGGCACATTGACGAGCTCATATTGCAAATAAAAAAAAATTCAACGATAGAGAAAAATCACAAATGAATTAATCAACAAGCAGCTCCGGTCGCTTATAGTTTTCAAGAAAAAAATAATGAAAAAGTGTAATTTTCACTACATTAATCCGCCGTTTTGTTGTTGTCAATATGTTAATTCTGCTCCTATTTTGGGTGGTCATAAAAATAACCACGAAGGTTAAGTTAAGCTCAGTACCTTCTTGCGGAATCTTTCTTTCTTCAAATCTTAAACAATCTATTACCTATGATCTTCAGAATAGCTTCATATTTCCTACTGATCATCGTAGAAATTAATTAATCAGCTGTCAAATGGTTTTTCATTTGTCGTTTGAGTTGCCAAAAGGATGGTTAAACTCTCTGAATTGATCAGAATGATCTTCTTAACGAACAGAATGACAATTCAAAAAACCATTTGACAGCAGATTAGTTAATTTTTACGATTGGTTATTATGGTTTTCAGAAACCGGGCGTTAATCTTTCTAGTTGTAGTGTGTTGAAGTTTACCATATTCGAAAATTTATTGCTTCACGATATGATGTTGTTAATAGGTAAATCACATTGGTAATAATTTATCTTTATTATGAAGAGTATACATTTATTATTGTTTTAATAATATAGTTTCTGATAAAGGTTTGACCGCCGGGGAAAACCGGCAAGAAACCCGAACATTTTTCAAGACGAATTTATGCCGTCCCCTTTCCTGCACTAAAACCCGAATTTATTAATTATTCATATTTACAAGTAAGCACATGTTGGACGTCATAAATTGGATGAAATGTTCAAGACATTGCTCTTTGATTGTACACTTGTCTATATAATTAAAGAAATTACTATTTATAAATCGAATTGAAAAAAAGAGATTGTGTATATCAGGCAAACCGTCTTTTCATCTGACAACTATATACTTAAAACGTCGCTAAATGCCTGGCAAAATTGGTTAGTGCAGATAATTGAAAAAAAATAACGCGTATTTATTTTCTTTCGTAAACTACCCTTAGTTTACGAAATAAAATACATATGTCATAAGCAAAAATAAAACATTCAATTTATATAAAAGAAACGATAAATGTCAATTAAATAAACATTTATACACGGAGAATCAAAATAATCATTTACTAGTCCGTGCATTTCTACAAATTTAATACAAAAATTTGACATTAAAAAATATTTTCTTTGCAACTTACGCGTGGCGTCGACACCACACCGTATAAGTTGTTTCATACTATTATAATATAGGGTCGCCACGCTAACATAACAGTCGGTCTGATCCGCTGCATTTGATATTTCTCATAAAAAAGTTTTCCCGTTTCGTAGGGAAGACCAGGAAACGGTCATTCATCGAGTGATAACCGTCACCACTGTTTGTTTAAATCGCCGTATTATTACTTCCCGTATTACACTTTCGCGTTTCATCTGGTGAGTAAGGTAGCCGGAGCTCAATATTCAAATGGTGGTCAATCTGCAATCCTCGGGTGTGGCAGATGTCCATAGGCGGCGGTATTCACTTAACATCAGGTGAACCGCCTGCTCGCTTGACAAATTTTCACATAAAACATCTGCAACCCCTGCAATGTCAATGGGTGGCGGCTATCACTTAACATAACTGCTAGCTAGCTTAGCACCTTATCACATAAAACAGTAGCCGCCTAAAACTGAAATATAGCGGTTAAAACGAACCCTCATCTTTAAAACTCAAACGGTGTTTCGGTCGATACAAACTTCACATTCAGAAACTTAACCACGTGTCTTCGTGCTCAAAAGTATAATCTTACAACCGCAGGAGGAAAGTTCTCTTTTTGGCGCTGGCGATTCTCCTCGATCTCGCCCTCTGCCAGAATGCCGATGACAGCGATGATAACCTGAATCTCGATCCAGTTGGGGAAAACACTGTTAGCAGTAAGTCATTAAAATTTTACCCAGAGGTCATTAGGGCATAGTCCTGCTGTCTATCTGTCCCTATGTATGCTTAGATCTTTAAAACTACGCAATGGATCTTGATGCGGTTTTTTAACAGATAGAGTGATTCAAGAGGAGGGTTTAAATGTATAATACTGTTATGAACATACAAAGGAACTAACGCCATCTAGCGTCAACTATTAAAACCACTAAAGAACAAAGACGACATAAAACCCCCTATTCAACACTAGATGGCGTTAGAGGAACTGCTGTGGAACTATAGTCTCGAAAACCGGGAAAAACGAACTTTCCGGAATCACGAACATGTTCGTGCGTGTCGGGTACGTTCCAGGAATGATCTTTCTGGATTAGTCCGGAACCGGTCTCGGCCCATATAAAAAGCCGCAGGGAGGCGAGCGAACACAGTTCAGTTTGTGTCAAGTGATCAAGAGCGATACCAGTGAAACCTACGACTTGGCTACAAAATAGGACATCGTTAGTGCTTAGTGTTTGGACCTAGTGCTTTGTGTTGGATCTAGTTCTAGTAAATAAAGTCTTCAAAAGAGTCAGCAGGTCTTTCTCTCCAAATCCTTCGAACCCCTAACACGTAACAACTGGTGTCAGAAGTGGGATTTGGAGATGCCATTGACTCCGAGAGAGGACTTCAAGGAGGGTGTCAGGACAAGGGCACGAGCTGCGGAGGCCACACCCACTGGGGACCAAGCCCCGCCCACTGGCCCCACCGACCAGACCACGACCACTGACCAGGCCCCTCAGACTCCGCCCATTCAGGCACAAGCCCTGCCCACTCGGGCTCAGGCCCCGCCCACTCAGGCGCATGCCCCGCCCCCTTTGGTGCAAGTACCGCCCACTGACTCCACCCGCCGGGCCACGCCCACTGGCCCCGCCCACCTTGCCACGCCCACCAGCGGCACCGTAACTTCTGCATCCCTGAAATGGCTTTTCAATTAGGAAGTTTAATTGAACTAATTAGCGCTTTGCAAGAGTCACAAGAACGCAAGTTCGGCGCTTTGCAAGAGTCACAAGAACGCAAGTTCGGCGCTTTGCAAGAGTCACAAGAACGCAAGCTGACTACGATTCAAGAGTTTCAAAAAGCTGAAATCAGAGCGATTCGAGAATCACATGAGCAACAAAAAGACCTCCAAGAAAAGGCGCTTTGGGCTATAAATGATGTTAGTAACACGGTGATTAAACTTCGAAAAGATCTCGACGTAGTGGAAGAACGAGTTACCGGGTTAGGATTGGATGTTGAAAATGTGAAAACCAGCCTCACCGAACTACAGAAGAAAGTAGTGCGCCTTGAAACCACGGGAATCGCGATGTCTAGTGGCACTACTGGAGTGGCACAAGGACCAAAAGTGAAAGTGCCGCCATACGACGGCACTACTTCTTGGCACGCTTATCGTCGGCAATTCCAGACTGTTGCTACTGCCAACGGATGGACGGAAGAGCAATGCCTGACCGCTCTCATTGTAGCGCTCAGAGGGCAAGCTTTGTCGATCCTGGAAGCACTGCCACGTACAGGAAATGGGTTCCAAGACCTGATGGAGGCACTTGAATCCAGATACGGGGAGCGACACCTGGAGCACGTGTTCCGTGCCCAACTGCGTGACCGAGTTCAACGCTCAGGAGAAGGACTACAACAATGGGCGTTGGAAATTGAAAAACTCGTCAGGAAGGCACACCCAGGAGCCGACACCAAGATGGTAGACACGAACATTGTTCAAGCATTTGTGGACGGGATCAAAGACCTGGAGGTCAGAGCTGCAGTGAGGCTTCGTCACCATACCTCGCTAAAGGAAGCACTGGCGCATGCTTTAGAGGTCGAGGCTGTTCGCCATGACATACGGCACACCCATAAGATCCGCGAGGTCTCTGAGGAAGTCAAGGAGGTTAAGGCTCCTACAAAGAAAAGTTTTGGAGCTTTGTGTTACAAGTGCGGCGAGAGGGGCCATCTGCAGCTCAACTGCCCGCAGAAGGAGACCCAGATGGCAAGGATGAAATGGATCGATGAACAAATAGCGGAGCTGAAGGAGCGAGGGGCTTCGTCCCCTGCCCGGGATCAGGGAAACTAATAAAAGCCAGTACTAAGGGGCGAGTACTGGCTGACGCGGAGGAGGCCCCGATAACTGTTATCTCCCAGGCATACAGCGGGAATACAGGGTACTATTAGTGGGACGGATTGCAAAATGACTCTAGACACAGGAGCCTCTAGAACAATAGTGACCCCTAATCTGGTAAAAGCCGCAAGGGGACTCAAAAGGAGAATTAACTGCCGGCTTCTTACTGCCTCCGTAGCCAATACCCGTCCTGGGAGAAATGTCAGTCACGATGTATGTAGGGGGGTCCTCATACTCTCATAACGTCATCGTGGCTAAGATAATGGATGATTGCATCTTGGGTTTGGATTTCATGAGGAAACACAACTGCAGAGTTAATGTCGCTGACGGAGTTTTCAAGTGTGGTGAAGAAGAAATCTTCATTCTTGGAGGCGCCTGCGGGAAAGTCGCATGTGTAAAGAAAGTCATTATACCTGGACGAGCGGAAGCTCGGGTGCTGGTGAAACTGCCGCCAAATGGAAAGAAAAAGTCAAACAGATGCGTGTTAATCGAAGACACACCTACCAAGACATCGGCACAAAAACTGATTACGGCAAGAACCCTTGTTAGTGGAAGCAGTAACGCTGTGGTCAAGGTTTTGAATCTCTGTGATCGCGAGGTCTGCTTGAACAAAGGTGACGTCATTGGAAAGTGCGAGGAAGTTGTCTGGATGAAAAAGTGTAGTTCGACGACAGGCGCAGACCCAGCAAACAGCAACAACTACGGATTAGTGACTGAGCTACTCGATGACTGCAAGAGTAATCTGACTTATTCACAGGGCATGAAAGCTAGGAAGTTTTTACAGCGCTACGCGAATATCTTCTCCAGTCAAGAAGGGGACCTTGGAAGAACTTCGATGGTTCAGCACAGGATAGATACCGGAAGCGAAAGACCAATTCGTCAACGAGCAAGACGGATACCAATTGCAAAGGAAAAAGAAGTTGAAGGCCTTTTGGAGGACATGAGAAGGAATAAGATTATCTAAGAAGACAGTTACCCGTTACCTCGAATCGACGACACTTTGGATACCTTAAGTGCCATGAAATGGTTCTCGGCCCTAGACCTGAAATCTGGATACTGGCAGGTGGAAATTCATCCAAAAGACAAGGAGAAGACAGCTTTCTCGACCGGTAAAGGTTTATGGCAATTTAACGTCATGCCCTTCGGATTGTGCAAAGCACCTGCCACATTTGAGCGACTCATGGAGTGTGTACTTGCAGGCTTAGTTGGAGAGGCTTGCTTAGTTTACTTAGATGACATCATCATTGTCGGCCGTGACTTCGAGGACCATTTGCGAAACTTGGAGCGAGTTTTCGCCAAAATAGAGGAAGCCAAATTAAAGTTGAACCCGAAAAAGTGTCGTTTATTCAGGAGCAAGGTCAACTATCTCGGCCATGTTATCTCCAATGATGGAATCCAGACAGACCCGGAGAAACTGGAAGCAGTTCAAAAATGGCCTACCCCTAAGGACAAAACCGAATTGCGAGCATTCCTCGGCCTATGCTCACACTACAGGCGTTTTGTTAAAGGATTCTCAGAGATAGCCAAGCCATTACATCGACTGACAGAAGATAAACGACAATTTAGTTGGGATGGGACTTGTGAAGATTCTTTTCAGAAATTGAAGAAACATCTATGTGAAACACCAATCCTGGGGTATCCACAATCTGAAGGCCAGTTTATAGTCGACACGGATGCAAGCAACACGGCCATTGGAGGGGTGTTATCTCAAAAACAGGGTGAAAGAGAAGTTGTTATCGCATATTTCAGCAAATCTTTATCCAAGCCAGAGAGAAACTACTGTGTGACAAGAAGAGAACTCTTGGCTGTTGTAAAGACACTACAACATTTCAACAAATATCTCATCGGCAGACAGTTTTTACTGCGAACTGATCACGCAGCCTTGAAGTGGCTACTGCAATTCAAGAACCCAGAAGGTCAAGTAGCTCGATGGATTGAACAGCTCCAGGAGTATGACTTCAAGACGGAACACCGCAGTGGAAAGCCGCATGGGAATGCCGACGCACTCTCACGAAGGCCGTGTTCAGAAGACTGCAACCATTGCGTCAAACAGGAATCTAATGAAGTAACATTAAAGCTAACGAGAACAAGTCCTTTGGGTCTCTGGGAGAATGATGCTATGAGGGAGGCTCAAGAAAGAGATGACGACCTTCGGCACATCATCACATGGAAGAAGAAACGGGGTGACGTAAAACCAATCTGGAGTGAGGTTGCTCCCACTGGCGCCGCCACAAAGGCGTACTGGGCGCAATGGGACAGTCTGATACTTCAAAACGGAATACTCTACCGGAAATGGGAGAAGACTAACGGCAGAGAGTTCCATCTTCAGATAATTGTCCCGAGAACGAGAGTACCAGATGTTCTCCGTGAAATACATGATGGCGTATCAGGAGGTCATCTAGGTGTCAAGAGGACGTTAACAAAAGTGCGAGAACGATTCTACTGGTTGCACTGTCGAGATGATGTACAGGATTGGTGCCGCAAATGTACTACTTGCGCTGCTGTAAAAGGACCACAGACCAGAAGCCGTGGGAATCTGCGGTTGTATAACGTCGGTGCACCGTGGGAACGAATTGCAGTTGACGTAGCTGGGCCATTTCCTGTAACGGAGTCGGGAAACAAGTATTTTATGGTCGTCATGGACTACTTCACCAAATGGCCCGAAGTGTTCGCCATACCAAACCAAGAAGCTACAACTGTCGCTTCTAAGTTAGTCGAAGAAGTGATATGTCGCTTTGGTGTGCCTCTAGAAATCCATTCCGATCAGGGCAGGAACTTCGAATCGCAAGTATTCCAGGAAGTATGTAGAATGTTGGGCATGCATAAGACGAGGACCACCGCGTGCCACCCCCAGTCTGATGGAATGGTTGAGAGATTTAACCAGACCCTTGAGAGGCATCTGGCGAAATTGGTAGACGACAAACAAAAGGATTGGGACAAGTATATACCACTCTTCCTTCTGTCGTACCGAACCGCCGAGGCATGAGAGCATAAAAGCTACCCCGGCGTATGTCAATTACGGCAGAGAACTACGATTACCAGTAGACCTATTGACAGGAGGGTCACCGGAGGGACCAGAGACCGTACAAGACTAAGTCTGCAATTTAAGAAAGAAAATGCGCTATATACACGCCTTGGTTCGGGAAAATGGGTTACAGTCAAGTGAGAACATGAAAACCAGATACAACCGGAAATCGAACACGGACGGCTTCGACGAAGGGTCACTGGTGTGGCTGCATAACCCAACTCGTCGGAAAGGGAAATCCCCAAAGTTGCAGACCAAGTGGGACGGTCCATACAAAGTGGTTACCCGACTGAATGATGTGACTTATAGGATTCAAAAGCAACCAAGAGGGACATTCAAAGTGGTACACATAGACCGTCTGGCGCGTTACCATGGCAGTAACAATGATGCTCGGGACGAGCATCTCTAAGAGGGGAGTAGTGTTATGAACACACAAAGGAACGAACGCCATCTAGCGTCAACTATTAAAACCACTAAAGAACAAAGACGACATAAAACCCCCTATTCAACACTAGATGGCGTTAGAGGAACTGCTGTGGAACTATAGTCTCGAAAACCGGGTACATTCGCGAACTTTCCGGAATCACGAACATGTTCGTGCGTGTCGGGTACGTTCCAGGAATGATCTTTCTGGATTAGTCCGGAACCGGTCTCGGCCCATATAAAAAGCCGCAGGGAACCGCGAGCGAACACAGTTCAGTTTGAGCTACCTTCGAGGCGACTTCGTAGCGAAAACTAGTGATCAAGAGCGATACCAGTGAAACCTACGACTTGGCTACAAAATAGGACCTCGTTAGTGCTTAGTGTTTGGACCTAGTGCTTTGTGTTGGACCTTGTTCTAGTAAATAAAGTCTTCAAAAGAGTCAGCAGGTCTTTCTCTCCAAATCCTTCGAACCCCTAACACGTAACAATACGTTGCCCCCGTGCGAAGCCGGGGCGGGTCGCTAGTCTTCGATAAAATTGTTATTACGTCAAAAAGTTTGCAGGTTTGCACACGGCATTTTCCTTCACCGCTGAGCACGTGGTAAGTCGCCACTTAAAATAAACAATTTCGTTGGTGCCGGCACCGGGAATCGAACTCGGTTCGCTCGTATATTGATTTAAAAGCAAGCGCCCGGACACCAGTGACGACTACAACCGCACGGCATATAGGAAGTCGCCCTGGGAAGTTGAAATTTGTTAAGGGTCGTGTATAGTGGTTTAGTTGGTCGAAAATTGTAATATGATAAATATAAATACATTCTTTTTCCGTTCCGTTTTATCATTTGGGCAAGGAACCCTAAAAAACAAAACAAAATTCTGCAATCCGATTTGCCTGGAGCACACCCACCCATTGCAACTGTATTCATGGAGTTTGAGAAATTGTTACACGCATGGAAAATAAAATAATTATTTAAGACATAAAAACTATTGAAGTGAGACTTGACGTACTCATTTTCTTCCTCTTTCAGGTAGGAGCGACAACGCCCTGAATAATAAAGGTATAATAGTAACAGTGGTGGATTTGTAGTCTTGGCCGCCCTAGGCCCCAGCCCATGTAGCCAGTCGCCTCTTTCTCAGAGCCCATCATAATTATATCGTGTTATCATCAGTGAATTTTTTGTCCTCCTAATGTGTGGCCGCCCTAGGCCCGGGCCTATTGGGCTTTAGGGCAAATCCGCTACTGAACAGTAATGAAATAAAATAACATTAGTTTTGAAATGATAAAGTTTTCTAATTACTTCACGAATTCTTTCACATATAAAGTGCAAACCGATTTTTTTTTGTGAAAATTCGTCAAATGAGCAGGCGGTTCACGTGATGTTAAATTAAACCCGCCGCCCATGGACATCTATAACCCCCGGCGGCTTGCTGATGCGTTGACAGCCCTTAAAAGTGTGGGCCCCGGTTACCTCACTTATCAGACAGAAAGTTTAACACTTCCACTTCACGCCGGTCTTCTGTGAGGCAGCGGTACTTACTACGATGGCCAGTAAAGGGCTGTCTCGACTGGCAGCCTCGCTGGCCGTTGGGGAAGACAGGTTCTTAAACCTTTCTCCCCCAACGGTTATCGGTTCTACGAGCTAAATGGCCGGGCCCATCGCCACTTCAGCTTACTAACCTTCTGAGCTATGTCGGTTACCTTTATTCTACTGCGGATGTCACGCAGAGAAATACCGAGCATAGCCCGCCCCATAGCTTGCAACACACATTGGTTGAAGACTTTAGTCTTCAAACTTAGAGGTATACTCGACGAGATTTGCCGAAGTTTCCTGAACACCGTCCACCCGAGTTGGATATTCCGGACTAACTGTCCTAGGTATATGTACTCGTCAACAACTTTGACCATAATACTCCCAACAACAACTGGTATAGGCGTCACATAGAAATGTCCATGTCACTGCCTAATGAGTCATGATCATCGTTTTTTTCCATGTTCATCTTAAGGCCCACCTGTTGGTAGACACTGTTCATGCCATTCAGCATAGTACCAAAGTCCTCCAGCGATTCTGCCATGTTGACTATGTCGTCAATAAATCAAAGGATGTATTCGCCATTGATATTAATACCATGTCCTTTCCAGTACTGAGCTTGAAAACATCTTCCGATTTGAAATCGTGCTTTTACCCACTAAGAGAGAACCAATGTTTCTATCTAACACCCGACTGGGCAAATAACTAATTTAATCTCTTTCGAAACAGGCACCGAATGCGTGATGGGGTCCGGACAAGGAGGAGTGTGTGTGAAGTACTATCTCTGCGATCAGGATTCAAAGACGGTCATAGAGGATGGCTACTCCATCATTGACATCAGGTTACGTTGTTATTATTATTGGGGGGGATATTCATTTGTTTTCTCGTCTGGTTGGGTTTATAAATAATAAATAAAAATAAAGATATAGATATATATTGCATATATAAAATAAATATTATGGATAAAAATAAAATATATATATATATATATATATATATATATATATATATATATATATATATATATATATATATATATATATATATAAATAAATATTTTATATAATACATATATAAATAGGACCCAACCAGACGGAAGCCCTCGGCAGGGGAGACCAAACGGCCGAGGGTTAGGGCGAAAGGGAGAGAAACCGGCGGACGATGCGGGTGGTATCGAGGAGCACCGCCTTCTGCATTTGAGCCTGGAGCGATCCGTCCCGGAGTCCCAGTCGCCTCAGATGTTTAGAGAGGCTGACTGGGATCAACCCATTCGCAGACACGACTATCGGGATAATTTCGGTCGGCACACCACCCCACATGTCGGTCACCTCGTGAGCCAGGTCCAGATACTTCGTCTTCTTATCTGTTTCGGCTTTCACGAGGTTCTCGTCATATGGAATGGTAATGTCGACCAAAAATACCCGCGACTGTGCCCGGTCCATCAACACGATATCAGGTTTGTTCGCGACAATTGTCCTGTCTGTGATGATGGACCGGTCCCAATAGAGCCTGGCGCGGTCATTTTCGAGCACGGCCTCCGGAGAGTACTTATAATACGGCAGTTTCCGTTCCACGAGGCCGTATTTCAGAGCGAGCTCCTGGTGTAGGATTCTGGCTACTAGGTTGTGTCTATGCAGATACTCAGAGTTAGAAAGCATGGAACAACCGGAGATAACATGCCGAAGTGACTCCCCGGGATGGCGACAAGCTCGACAGATGTCGACGGTGCCATCCTTTAGGATGTATCTCCTATAGTTGTTCGTCTTAATAACCTGATCCTGTATCGCACAGACAAAACCTTCGGTTTCCCCAAAGAGGTCACCGAAACGTAGCCAGTTCAGGGAGGCAACAGTATCTACGAAAGGCTCGTGTAGAGCCTTGTAGAACCTCCCGTGGAGCTCTTTCTCCTTCCATACAGCCTCTCGGTCGGAAACGCTCAGTACTCCCGGGTCCTGCCATTGCTCGTTGGCTAAGGATAGAGGGGTAAGTCCTTTATCACAACTAATGACGTCCGTGTAGATTGACTCATCCGATCTCGCCAGAAAGTAGTTACGGAGGCTGCACACCTCGCGATTGTGCATGGTGAGGGCGCTTAAAAAGCCCCTCCCGCCATGCTTCCGCGGAAGGTACAGCCTCATCACTGACGATCTCGGATGATGCATTCTGTGGGACGTCATAGTTGTGCGGACTTTTCGGTCCAGGGCGTTGAGCTCAGTTTGAGTCCACCTGAGTATGCCAAAGGTATACATGAGGACTGGCATGACCCAGCCGTTAAAAGCACGTGCCTTGTTCCCGCCTGACAAATGGCTATTAAACACCTTTGTCAGGCGTGCAAAAAAAAACACGTCACGAACTGACTGTTTCATGCCAGCCTCATCGATACACATATTTTGTGACATACCCAGGTATCGGTATGTTTCAGCCTCAGAGAGGGTCCTTATGTTAACGGGCATAGATAAGTCTATGCCCGCCGTATTAGTGACCTTACCCCTTTCGACATGAAGGACCGCACACTTATCCGTCCCGAGCTCCATTTTGATAGAATTGCTGAAATCACAAGTGACTTTAAGCAATTCCATCAAATGGGAGCGATTGGAGGCGAATAACTTGAGGTCATCCATGTAGAAAAGGTGGGTCACTTTTGTCCCTCCTATTATTATTATTATTAAGTTATATACAGGATGGCTTTTCTAAAGGTGCCCAAATTCACACAGGAGGTTCAAACTAGTTAGTATAATCGTTTATTGAAATGAAAACAAACTTTTTTTTTTCCAAAAACATTGCCATTCCATTCCTTAGAAAACAGAACTCGTGGACAATGCGGTAGCCATTCATAAATGCGTCGTATACTTTTGAAACGAACTAATGTGTGCGTGTTAGTTATGAATGATTGCGCGTAAAATAAATGAGTTGCCCATAAATCACGCACTTTTTGAGATAAGCTCAAATGAAAAATGTATTAAATGAATTAAATAATCTAATTCTATTTAATTAATGAAATAGTAAAATCAGGAAATCAATATTGACAATTATTTTCATTGACCATCCTTAATGGCATTCTAGTCTATATATTTTTTTTCTGTTTTTTTTTTTTAAACTATGCCCTATATGATCCTGTGTTGTAAGGACGTTTTACGAACATAGATCTGACGTGGACAAACACCCAGATCCGAAACAATTATCTGCGAGCCTGACAAATACTTGTCCAGTGTGGGATTCGAACCCACGACACAGCCAGCGCCGAAGCCAATACCTTGAGTTAATACTGTTGATACTCACGTAGGCTAGAATAAGACTGTTATACCTGTAATATAACATATATTGTAAACTGATATTTTTGAAAACTACTGAGTAAGAGCAACTGTTGAGTTTCTTGCCGGTCTGTTCTCAGCAGAAACTCCTTTTCGGACCGGTTGCATCTTACGAACCTATATATCATTTTTTTATCTAAAATCTGACGATTCATAAGAACGCGCAACCGTCTATTTCAATAAAGATATATTTGAGTCAAGCTTAAGCCCCCTTTAAGCTTAAAGTAACAGCCTATAATAAATGTCCCACTGCTGGGCAAAGGCCTCTGTAAAGAGGGTATCAGGGCAGAGTCCACAACGCGACCCCACTGCGGATTGGCGGACTTCTCACATTTTCGGAATTTTTTTTAAATTATTATTTCGAAAATATACAGGTTTCCTCACGATGCTTTCCTTTACCGAGCACGTGATAATTCAGCACTTAAAATTAACAATTTCATTGGTACTCGCACCGCGGACGGAACTTGGGTTGCTCGGGTAAATGTCATTAAAGGCGAGCGCCTGGACACTGAGCTATCACGGCTTTAAGCTGAACTTGCCTAAAATGAAAGCAAGAATGGCTTGAGCATACAACCGTTGTATACTCAAGCCGCTGTAACGTCGAGTGTTACAGGGCGGGCACCGATTGTCCCGTCTTCCTGGACGTGTGCTGCGTGCTCGGCCAAGTGCTCAGCACACCGGAGCCGGTGCGTCGCATCGAGGAGGAAAATACCAGCGCGGTGCAGACCACGCCGCCGCCCCCCCGCCGGACCCCTGGCTCCGTGGGCCCCTCTGGCTCCGGGACAGGTGGGTCCGTGGGCCCCTCTGGCTCCGGGACAGGTGGGTCCGTGGGCCCCTCTGGCTCCGGGACAGCTGCGTCTGTGGGCCCCTCTGGCTCGGGATCACGTGGGTCCGTGGGCAAATGCGGCTACAGCAACCCAGGGGCCAACGTGTTCAACGTACGCGAAGGGGCCTCCCCTAGCGATAGGGTCTACGCGGACTTCGGCGAGTTCCCCTGGATGGTCGCGTTGCTCAAGTAAGTACTCTGGCTATAGCGTTGCCCGACCTCGCTGTACTTTTCGACCGGCTTCAAAAAGAACTTTTATTCTGAGTCGACCGTCCCATGTCTGGGAGACCAACGTCCGGCGGGATCTGAATGCGCGTCTGATACGTGTATACGTTCGCAGACGCTCAGACAGCGAAGATTCGAAGCACGGGAGATCTACATTGGGGGAGGCTCGCTGATCCATCCGTCCGTTGTGATGACCGTGGCCCACAAGGTGCAGAACCGAAAAGCCAACGAGGTGCGTGCTTAGACAGAATCAGACAAGTCCGACGGATATACGAACAGACACACACAGTGTAGGGCCACGCAACAGTTGTCACTGTTGCAATGGGCAGGTCTGTCCGGGTAAGTACCACGACCTCAAAGAAGACCGGCGTGAAGTGGAAGTGTTATACTTCTGCGTTTCGCCTGGTGAGTTGGCCGGGGCCCACTTTGTTACAAATGTCCATGGGCAGCGGTTATCACTTAACATCGGGTGAACCGCTAGCTCGTTTGCCACCTTCCCACATAAAAAAGTACACTAAACTTAACTCAAGATTCTTCTCAGTGTGTGCACTTTAGCCGATTCCTCGTGGTAAGGTCACGTAAAAATTTCGCTGTTGCACGAATGGGCAGGCTCGTCTGGGGCCTTACCACGGCCTCACAAATGACCGGCGTGAAGTGGAAATATTACACTTTACCGTTCGGTCTGGTGAGTGAAGCAACCGGGGCGTACTATTTTAGGGTTCCGTGCCCATTGGGGCCCCCAATACTAAGACTTCGCTGTCTGTTTGTCTGTTCGTCTGTCACCGGGCTGTATCTCAAGAACAGTGATAGTTAGACAGTTGGAATTTTTAAAAAAGATGTATTTCTGCTACAGCTAAAAATATTAAATATTTAAATAGGGCTCATACAACATACAACAGACACGATTTTTTGCAGTTTTTATAGATAATGGTACGGAATCTTTGGGGCGCGAGTCACATTTGGCCGGTTTTGGTGGATTTATAATATGCATTATAGAAAATCCGTCAGATAGCCACGATTGGCGGTATCACTTCACAACAGCTGAGCCTGCTCGCTCACCAACTTTTCACGCCAAAATAACAACCAACCAAACCAACATACAGTGGTAGGGCCACGCAAAGGTGTTCGCTGTTGCACAAATGGGCAGTTCCATCCGGGTTAGTACGACGACCTCGCAGAAGATCGGCGTGCAGACGAAGAAGTGTTACAGTTCTGCGTTTCGTTCGGCAAGTGAGGTAGTCGGGACCCGCTTTATTAAAAGGTGGCGACCCATCAGCATCCCCACGGGTATCAAATACAATACGCAAATATCCGTGGGCGGCGATCATCACTTAGCATCAGGTGAACTGCCACCTAGTTTGCCGACTTTTCACACCAAAACAACTCGCAGACGTAAACATCACAAGGCTTTTAACTGCTAGTATTGATGGAGCCGTTTTTTTTTAACCAAACTTTCAATGCAACTTCTCACACCAAAACAACTCGCAGACGTAAACACCACAAGGCTAGTATTGATGGTGCAGTCAACCAAACTTTCAATGCAACTTCTCACACCAAAACAACTCGCAGACGTAAACACCACAAGGCTAGTATTGATGGTGCAGTCAACCAAACTTTCAATGCAACTTCTCACACCAAAACAACTCGCAGACGTAAACACCACAAGGCTTTTAACTGCTAGTATTGATGGTGCGGTCAACGAACTTCCAATGCAACTTCCCGCATTACACAGATAAAAATTCGCGCGGGCGAATGGGACACTAACTCGGAAGACGAACTGTACGAGCATCAGGAAAGGAACGTGGCCAAGATAGTTGTGCACGAAAGCTATTTCAGACGTGAGTACGGCGAGTATTAATATCGAAAATGATCCATTGTTCGCAAATAATAATTGGTAATGGCAATAGTCGGTGTGGCAATCGGCCGTTTAGCTTGGTGGCTGAAGCGTCAGGGCGCGAATCCCGAAAACGTGGGTTCGATTCCCACAGCGGCGACATGCTTTTCCGTACATTTTTCTACAGATTTTAATGTTAATTCTTAAGTGCAGAGATTAGCACTATTAAAAATTTATTTAAATTAATGTTTGAATTGATATTTTTCTGATTATTTCTTGTCTAAATAAAAAAAAATATACATTTTTTTGAATTATGGAATGCTCAATTAACATTATGTCAAAGTATGTAGATCGTCTAAAAAATCACCCTGCATATCTCGTCTATTGTAAAGTTGAACGATTTTTAAATTCCGCGCATGGACATGCTTCATCTGTAGGGTTGCCAACTATACTTTATAATACAGTATTTAACTTTATTTTTTGTAAAGATACTTTATAATTTTGAATAAAATTGTGAAAATACTCTATTTTAAATACTTACTGTATTGCATAAAATAAAACAATTAAAATGTATGTACCCATATGAATAATTACTGAACTTTTATCGATACTTTTAAGTTAAAACGTTGTATTTTATGATATATATATCAAAAACATATTTTTCAAAAAATACCTTTTTTCCTTCCAAATACTTTATTTTTCTCTACTTGAAATACAGGTGGCAACCCTAGTCATCTGTATTATTGAACATCATTTATTTATTTATTTATTTATTTAATCTTTATTGCCAACCTTCAGTAAAACATGGTAACAAAGGGCGGACTTAATGCCCAAAGGCATTCTCTACCAGTCAACCCAGGATATGGGAAGAGTTTATGGTAGGTGCAGCAAAAGATGCCAGAATAATAAAATTTAAATTAAAGAGAATTGAAAATAATATTATTATTGGATACAAATCATATATTGAATTGTATATGTTATCCTTTAAACGAGCAATTCTTGTATATATATAAGTATATAATCGAAATCTCGGAAACGGCTCCAGCGATTTTCATGAAATTTAGTATGTGCGCAGATTCGAGGGCGAAAATCGATCTACCTAGGTTTCATTTTTAGAAAATGTCCTTTTATGCCTGTTTTCAGGGAATGAAAAATATCATTCGAATATGACAGTAAATTTCGCCGCAGAAAAAATGTTATAATAGCTCGGTCGGTAATCGGGCGGCCCCAAAATAGACGGCCGCGGTTCGTATCACGATCATTTACACACTTATTTCGTTTACTTTTTTTTCTATACCAGATCATTTTCTTTATTTTTTTTTTTTTAATTTCCAAAATACATGAATTACCAAAAAAACGAGCAAAGCTCGGTCCTCCAGGTACTATGTATATACAGCGTGTCTTTACAATCGCGACAATAAATGAACACACATATATGGGATAACTTTTTAAAATTGTATTAAACATTTACATCCTTTAAACATCAATATTTACAGAATTATTGAATTTTCCAAAACAAAGAATTTTAGAAATCCGTACGTATAAAACTGTAACGTAAAGTTCGTTTGTAATGGTCACAAAGCATATCAATGGGTTGAATGGATTTACAAGAGACAAAACATACTGTTAGAAGGAGAGGCTTGTAATACGACGCTGTGGCGCGAGTTGTATAGGATGTTACAAATTTTGTTTCTTTTTCACTTGATTAGTTTGTTTGAAAAATATTTTTTTTTAATTATGGATTTTGTTCAACGTTAATATTCTTTTATGATTATTGGCAAGTAGCGTTACACGTGTGTTCATTTATTGTCGCGATGGTAACGACACGCTGTATATAATCATTGTGTTTGACGCCGGTCGCCTCCAGCTAAGTTGCACCACGACGTGGCGCTGCTGTTCCTGGAGGGGCCGGTGTCGCTGGCGGACGCGCCGCAAATCGGCGTGGGCTGCTTAGCGCGGCGGCCCCCGCCCCCCCGCGCCGTCTGCTTCAGCATGGGCTGGGGCGCGGACGACTTCAGCAACAAGAGGGTCTTCGCCTCCGTGCTGAAGAAGGTGAGCCGCAAACGGCGCGCGAGCAACGGCGGGTCTAGTTCCCATCATTTTTCGAGCCAAAAAAAAAAAAGAACAAAACAAAGGGTCCCCACACCGTGCCTTGTCAACCTACCCATTGGCGTATCTAGGTTTATTTTTCAGGGTGGGCCTGGGCCTTGACTACAAAAAGAAATCGAACACTATGCGCCTTATTAAAGAAGTAACAGTTCGTTATCGTTAATAATTTTATTAATTTATAATAGTAGTATTAACTAATTAGTAGTCAGTACCTACGTTGTGTATTCACATGTAAATAAACGGACTCGAATTTGAATAATAGTATGTAATAAAAACTAAGGTTGTACATAGATTTCTCGACTGTAGATAATTATTTCAACATTTTTTTATGATATTTCTTATGTATCCAATGATGAATAGATAGCCTAGAATTTCGAATCAGTAACCCAAAATCCTGGGGTGGGCACTAGACGATACTGGGGTGGGCATGGCCCACCCGGCCCCCCCGCTATATACGCCTATGAACCTACCACTCCTCGTTTTCAGATGCAGGTAAAAGTCGGAAAGTTGCTATCGGTTGCCGTCGTAATACCGTGGATTTCCGAATCGTGTCGCTCGTGTCGGTGTGCGCCCGCGTCATTAAGTTTTACTCTGATAGTTTTTTCGAAACGCGCCAAAAGAGAGTGAAATTTCCCATTTTTTCGACGTTAAAAAAATTTTTTTCGGCGGAGAAAAATCAGTGATGAAATAATCAACAAGCAGAATTAAATTCAAAGTATTTTAACATACTTAATTTTTATGCAAAATCATAAAGTGTGCTTACAAAAAATTAAGCGAGACAGTTATTATAATTAAAGGCGAACGCCCGGACACTGAGCTATCACGGCTCTTTACTCGAGCAACCTGAGTTCGATGCCAGCACCAATGAAGATTTTAACTTTAACTGCTGGCTTATCACGTGCTCCGCGGTGAAGCAAAACATCGTGAGGAAACCTGCATATTTTCGAAATAATAACAAAAAAAAATATTTCGAAGATATGTGAAGTCCGCCAATTCGCAGTGGGGCCGCGTGGTGGACTATGCCAGGTGGGACATGTATAGGCTATTACTTACGTTATTATAAATATGGTTGGCAGTGGCGGATTTGTTTAGCACAATAGACACGGGCTAAGGGCGACCAACCGTGACAAAAAATTTACTGAAAGGGGCGGCTGGAACTTACTACATGGGCTGTGGCCATCGCCGGATTTTGAGGACTGCAACCGAGGCAACAGCCCCGGGGCCTCCACAAACTAGGAGCTCAAATTCAGACTAGTAAACAATAGTAAACATTTTACCTTTCATACATTTTTTCGCGTTTTACTTTTACCAACAGTACTGGAAAATAATTTGTGGGCAAGGGGCCTCCACTACTTTGTTGCCCCGAGGCCTCTAGACCTCTAAATCCGGCTCCGGCTGGGGCCTAGCGCGGCCAAGACTACAACCACTAATGATCGGCGACCCTAGTTGTGTAACGCAGGGCTGTTCCGCAGGTGAAACTGCCTTTAGTGGAGACCGGCCGGTGCGTGGAGATGCTGAGGAGGACCCGGCTCGGCGGCAACTTCGAGCTGCACCCCTCGCTCATGTGCGCGGGGGGCGAGGAGGGCGTCGACACGTGCAAAGGGGACGGCGGCTCGCCCCTCGTCTGCCCTATCGATGCCAAAGTGAGAATGGTCGAATGCAACTTATTGTCTCTAGATTCGGCGCAACCATCGGATTCACAAAGCGAGAGTTCGTAGTAGTCGATTCCAAAGTGAGAATGGTCGAATGCAACTTATTGTCTCAAGATTCGGCGCAACCATCGCATTCACAAAGCGAGAGTTCGTAGTAGTCGATTCCAAAGTGAGAATGGTCGAATGCATTGCAACTTATTGTCTCTAGATTCGGCGCAACCATCGCATTCACAAAGCGAGTATTCGTAGTAGTCGATTCCAAAGTGAGAATGGTCGAATGCAACTTATTGTCTCTAGATTCGGCGCAACCATCGGATTCACAAAGCGAGAGTTCGTAGTAGTCGATTCCAAAGTGAGAATGGTCGAATGCAACTTATTGTCTCTAGATTCGGCGCAACCATCGCATTCACAAAGCGAGAGTTCGTAGTAGTCGATTCCAAAGTGAGAATGGTCGAATGCAACTTATTGTCTCTAGATTCGGCGCAACCATCGCATTCACAAAGCGAGAGTTCGTAGTAGTCGATTCCAAAGTGAGAATGGTCGAATGCAACTTATTGTCTCTAGATTCGGCGCAACCATCGCATTCACAAAGCGAGTGCAAAGCGAGTATTCGTAGTAGTCGATTCCAAAGTGAGAATGGTCGAATGCAACTTATTGTCTCTAGATTCGGCGCAACCATCGCATTCACAAAGCGAGTATTCGTAGTAGTCGATTCCAAAGTGAGAATGGTCGAATGCAACTTATTGTCTCTAGATTCGGCGCAACCATCGCATTCACAAAGCGAGTATTCGTAGTAGTCGATTCCAAAGTGAGAATGGTCGAATGCAACTTATTGTCTCTAGATTCGGCGCAACCATCGCATTCACAAAGCGAGTATTCGTAGTAGTCGATTCCAAAGTGAGAATGGTCGAATGCAACTTATTGTCTCTAGATTCGGCGCAACCATCGCATTCACAAAGCGAGTAGTTCGTAGTAGTAGTCGATTCCAAAGTGAGAATGGTCGAATGCAACTTATTGTCTCTACGATTCGGCGCAACCATCGCATTCACAAAGCGAGAGTTCGTAGTAGTCGATTCCAAAGTGAGAATGGTCGAATGCAACTTATTGTCTCTAGATTCGGCGCAACCATCGCATTCACAAAGCGAGTAGTTCGTAGTAGTCGATTCCAAAGTGAGAATGGTCGAATGCAACTTATTGTCTCTAGATTCGGCGCAACCATCGCATTCACAAAGCGAGTGTTCGTAGTAGTCGATCCAAAGTGAGAATGGTCGAATGCAACTTATTGTCTCTAGATTCGGCGCAACCATCGCATTCACAAAGCGAGTATTCGTAGTAGTCGATTCCAAAGTGAGAATGGTCGAATGCAACTTATTGTCTCTAGATTCGGCGCAACCATCGCATTCACAAAGCGAGTATTCGTAGTAGTCGATTCCAAAGTGAGAATGGTCGAATGCAACTTATTGTCTCTAGATTCGGCGCAACCATCGCATTCACAAAGCGAGTATTCGTAGTAGTCGATTCCAAAGTGAGAATGGTCGAATGCAACTTATTGTCTCTAGATTCGGCGCAACCATCGCATTCACAAAGCGAGAGTATTCGTAGTAGTCGATTCCAAAGTGAGAATGGTCGAATGCAACTTATTGTCTCTAGATTCGGCGCAACCATCGCATTCACAAAGCGAGTATTCGTAGTAGTCGATTCCAAAGTGAGAATGGTCGAATGCAACTTATTGTCTCTAGATTCGGCGCAACCATCGCATTCACAAAGCGAGTATTCGTAGTAGTCGATTCCAAAGTGAGAATGGTCGAATGCAACTTATTGTCTCAAGATTCGGCGCAACCATCGCATTCACAAAGCGAGTATTCGTAGTAGTCGATTCCAAAGTGAGAATGGTCGATGCAACTCATTGTCTCTAGATTCGGCGCAACCATCGCATTCACAAAGCGAGTATTCGTAGTAGTCGATTCCAAAGTGAGAATGGTCGAATGCAACTTATTGTCTCTAGATTCGGCGCAACCATCGCATTCACAAAGCGAGAGTTCGTAGTAGTCGATTCCAAAGTGAGAATGGTCGAATGCAACTTATTGTCTCTAGATTCGGCGCAACCATCGCATTCACAAAGCGAGTATTCGTAGTAGTCGATTCCAAAGTGAGAATGGTCGAATGCAACTTATTGTCTCTAGATTCGGCGCAACCATCGCATTCACAAAGCGAGTATTCGTAGTAGTCGATTCCAAAGTGAGAATGGTCGAATGCAACTTATTGTCTCTAGATTCGGCGCAACCACAGAATGGTCGAATGCAACTTATTGTCTCTAGATTCGGCGCAACCATCGCATTCACAAAGCGAGAGTTCGTAGTAGTCGATTCCAAAGTGAGAATGGTCGAATGCAACTTATTGTCTCTAGATTCGGCGCAACCATCGCATTCACAAAGCGAGAGTTCGTAGTAGTCGATTCCAAAGTGAGAATGGTCGAATGCAACTTATTGTCTCTAGATTCGGCGCAACCATCGCATTCACAAAGCGAGTATTCGTAGTAGTCGATTCCAAAGTGAGAATGGTCGAATGCAACTTATTGTCTCTAGATTCGGCGCAACCATCGCATTCACAAAGCGAGAGTTCGTAGTAGTCGATTCCAAAGTGAGAATGGTCGAATGCAACTTATTGTCTCTAGATTCGGCGCAACCATCGCATTCACAAAGCGAGAATTCGTAGTAGTCGATTCCCAAAGTGAGAATGGTCGAATTCGACTTATTGTCTCTAGATTCGGCGCAACCATCGCATTCACAAAGCGAGAATTCGTAGTAGTCGATTCCAAAGTGAGAATGGTCGAATGCAACTTATTGTCTCTAGATTCGGCGCAAACCATCGCATTCACAAAGCGAGAATTCGTAGTAGTCGATTCCAAAGTGAGAATCGAATGCAAGCTTATTGTCTCTAGATTCGGCGCAACCATCGCATTCACAAAGCGAGTATTCGTAGATAGTTCTATTCCAAAGTGAGAATAGATCCAAACTGAGAATGGTTCGAATTGGTCGAATGCTTATTGTCTCTAGATTCGGCGCAACCATCGCATTCACAAAGCGAGAATTCGTAGTAGTCGATTCCAAAGTGAGAATGGTCGAATTCGACTTATTGTCTCTAGATTCGGCGCAACCATCGCATTCACAAAGCGAGAATTCGTAGTAGTCGATTCCAAAGTGAGAATGGTCGAATTCGACTTATTGTCTCTAGATTCGGCGCAACCATCGCATTCACAAAGCGAGAGTTCGTAGTAGTCGATTCCAAAGTGAGAATGGTCGAATGCACTTATTGTCGAATTCGGCGCAACCTCTAGATTCGGCGCAACCATCGCATTCACAAAGCGAGAATTCGTAGTAGTCGATTCCAAAGTGAGAATGGTCGAATTCGACTTATTGTCTCTAGATTCGGCGCAACCATCGCATTCACAAAGCGAGTATTCGTAGTAGTCGATTCCAAAGTGAGAATGGTCGAATGCAACTTATTGTCTCTAGATTCGGCGCAACCATCGCATTCACAAAGCGAGAATTCGTAGTAGTCGATTCCAAAGTGAGAATGGTTGAATTCGACTTATTGTCTCTAGATTCGGCGCAACCATCGGATTCACAAAGCGAGAATTCGTAGTAGTCGATTCCAAAGTGAGAATGGTCGAATTCGACTTATTGTCTCTAGATTCGGCGCAACCATCGGATTCACAAAGCGAGAATTCGTAGTAGTCGATGCCAAAGTGAGAATGGTCGAATGCAACTTATTGTCTCTAGATTCGGCGCAACCATCGGATTCACAAAGCGAGAATTCGTAGTAGTCGATTCAAAAGTGAGAATGGTCGAATTCGACTTATTGTCTCTAGATTCGGCGCAACCATCGGATTCACAAAGCGAGAATTCGTAGTAGTCGATTCCAAAGTGAGAATTTTTTGCATCTGTGGCAGGGAAAGTATTGTGTGACCCACAGATGATTGTTTCAGATCTGGGTGTATAAATTGTCCACGTGAAATTCATGTTTGTAAAACGTTCTCACAACGCGGGACGATGTTATCCTATAGTAATGGGCATTTTATTTTATTTTGTTTTATTTAAAAAAAAAAAAAAAAAAAAAAAAATGGCGGACTGTTGGCGCCAAAATGTAGGCTTCCAATCTTTTTTTTTTCGTGCTCCAATTGGGTCTTTTAGCTTTTTTTAATCACTTATTTGTTTATATGGATGTTTCACGAAGGAATAAATGCTTGGCCAATTATAGGTGTTAACCACTATATTGGTCACGTGATAGAGTTGCAGTGCTTAACTAAGAAAGACTTGAAGCAAGCGCTTTTATAGCCACAAAGTATATAACATTTTTATTGGCAAAACACAAAACAGACCTCAAATGTCTCATCGTGTAAATATACGTTTTGCGTTAACATACGCATGTCAATATTTTTTTTTTATGTGGAGAAAGTGACAAATGATCTGGCGGTTCACCTGATGTTAAGTAATAACCGCCGCCCATGTACATTTGCCACATCGCTAGGGTTGCAAATGCGTTGCCACCTTTAAATAAAGTGGGCACCGGCTACCTCACTCACCAGACTATATTATAACTACGTTATCAGCTATCACTACATTATTCATTTTCTTACTACGTTATTAAGTTTAAGTTATTGTAGGTACGTTTTATATTTTATGTTGAGGAGTTCTCTGATGTATCTCCGGAGTTCAAGGTCCAAAACAAGCAGAATAAAGTAAATGTTTTACTTTTATCATAAAAATTTCTTACAAAGTTAGCATAACAATGCCATCTATCGACAATTCGTTCAAACGAAAGCGGAGTAAAACGTCATTCTTCTAATTAAAAAAACCTCTCCACGGCCGACGATTATCACATAACATCAGGTGAACCGCCAGCTCGTTTGCCATTGTCTCATAATAAAAACAATACTAATAACTCAATAAGAAAACTGTGAAAAAGGGTTCGCGCTTCGCCATCTACGGAATGGTCGCTTACGGTGTCAGCTGCGGTACTAAGGACGTGCCGGCCGTTTACGCGAACGTCACCAACTTATACGAGTGGGTGGGGCGGCAGCTCAGCTTCGAGGGCCTGGACTCCAAGTCCTATACCTACATGTAGACAAGAAGCGTCTGCAAGGCCCAATGTAAATCTGTACCTCAGAGGAATAAAGCAACTGCACATTTTTCAGATTAATTATTGTTACACCATTAAAATCGCGAGAACAAATCCTAAACAATAGCGTAAATCGTTTAGTCCTAATTAATAAAATATCCAATCGTATATGACAATCATAATCAGTAATGCATTCGATGTTTCACTCCGCGCATTTTTGCCTCTCCTATAAAGTGTTTTGTCGCATAACGCTTGCTGTTTGCCACTGACGTACAGAAATATAGGTATTTATAAATAACGACTTTTGAAATGCTTTACCTGTATTGTTATTTTTAATAAAACATTAAAAAGCTTTCGTGTGTTTAAACGTTTCAATTGCACCCGCATCATAATTATGTCAGTCATCCAATATTCCTCCAGTGGCTGGGTGGTTATATGTCTGTGACATGTTATTATATGTCGGAGATAGGTGGATCATATGGGAAAACTCGTTGTCAGATCCCTCATCCGACATGTTGTAAGCACATGACTTCCACAACTCATAACCGTCAAGTCCGCGCTCTCACTTCCTGTATCGACCTTACTCAAGCGCACTACTTGACGTCTCCGAGAGCTACCAATAGATGGTGTTGTAATCAAATTATAGCGCCACATCTTGATCCTGCGACGTATATAAAAAAACCGGCCAAGTGCGAGTCGTCGCAGAATCCATATAATTTTTACCAAAAAAAAAAAACCGACTTCAATCAGAAAATATAACATTCAATTATGGCCCTCGATTTCTATGTGATGCCATCGTCAGATCCGGGTTTCCTTATCATGGTACCACCCTTGGAATATATATCTCCTTTCCGACAAAAAAGAATCATCAAAATTGGCTTATAAACGACGAAGTTATCCGCGAACACACATAAAAAAAATATATACGGTCGAATTGAGAAACCTCCTCCTTTTTTGAAGTCGGTTAAAAATACTGTCTGTTGTATCGGAGCCCCACTTAAATATTTTTTTATTGTTTTTTTCAAATCCCATCTGGGAAAATTTCAACCGTCGAACTATCACGGTTCATGAGATACTGTTGACAGGTGGATAGACAGCACCTGACAGCGGAGTCTTAGTAATAGGGGCCCGTTTTACCCTTTGGGTACGGAACCCTAAAAAGGGAATAATGGAATATGTTTATCAGTTATTTAGTATCCCTATTGCGTTGTTCGAAAATGTGTATTGAAATTGAATAGCCAGTATTTCTCTGGATTAATCATATTTATTCGTCTTTAATCGTTTAATATCTTTATTCGTCTAATATAGTACATCGTGTAACCGCACCGATATAACTTGGTCTTTCATAAGCGTTCAGTCCATATTTTAAAATAAATAAAATTCGAAATAAGGCATATTTTGAATTTTCCGAGCATAATAAATATTTTGTGGCCACGATTGAAAATTAAAAAATTTTTTGGCTGTGAGGCAAATCTGTATTGAAGGTTGTTTTTTTTTTATTGCCTTATTAAACTGTAAATACTTACGTTTATTTCTTGTAAGGTTATTCGTAATCATATGAAATAAAATAGCGCCATCTCACAAAGTCTTGAGGTACCTATGGGTAGGCTTATATCAAAAAGTAACAATGCAATTTCTCCAAAACTTAGGAGATGGCGCTATATCAGACTATTAATATTGTCGATTTGTACTGAAAAATACTTTTTGTACAATCATATACTTTCAAGACGCCTATATATAAATATAATATAAACATTTTAGATTAATATTTAATACAAAAACGTAAATTGAGGTATAATATGTATGTTTAAGTTACGTGTACACGTAAGAATTTATGCTTCTTTAGCGTAAAAATAAATAAAAATTGTATACTGTAAGGCCAGTGCTCTTTGTTTGGTGGTTTTTTTTTTATGTGAAAGTTGCCAAACGAGCAGACGGTTCACCTGATGTTAAGTGAATACATCCGCTACACCCGAGGGTTGCAGATGCGTTGACAACCTTTTGAAAATTGGGCTCCGGCTACCTCACTCACCAGATGAAACGCGAAAGTATTATACTTCCACTTTACGCCGATCTTCTGTGAGGTCGTGGTACTTACCCGGACGAGCCTGCCATTCTTGCAACAGCCGAGGCTGCTGCGTATATGTATATGCCATAAAGCGGATTTTGGCTGTATTAATTCTGCATCATTGTTTAAAATTTTAATTGAAGGCAGAATAATATTCTTATTTACATATATTGATAATATTATACAGCGTGTCTTTACAATCGCGACAATAAATGAACACACATATAGAGGATAACTTTTTAAAATTGTATTAAACATTTACTTTCTTTAAACATCAATATTTACAGAGTTATTAAATTTTCCAAAACAAAGAATTTTAATAAACCGAACGCATAAAACTGTAACGTAAAGTTCATTTGTAAAGGTCACAAAGCATATGAATGGGTTGAATGAATTTAAAAGAGACAAAACATACTGTTAGAAGGAGAGGCTTGTAATGCGACGCTGTGGCGCGAGTTTTATAGGTGTTACAAATTTTATTTCTTTTTTACTTAAATTAGTTTGTTTGAAAAAAAAATTGTTTTTATTATGGATTGTTTTTTAAAGTTAATATTTTTTATGATTATTGGCAAGTAGCGTTAGACGTGATGTCATTTATTGTCGTGATGGTAACGACACGCTGTTTAATTCATATTTTTATAACTTTCATATACCTAAAAATATTTTGTATTTTAAAAAGATGGGGGTTAAAAATTTATTTTAACTATTCATTAATTCATCCATTACTTTATTATTGGTATAAGTTCTCAACAATATAAAATTTGAGAATTTTTGAAAGGAACATCTTACATATTGTATAGAATCATTTAATAAAAAACTGAATCAATTATATGAAATATTTAAAAAATTTTTTTTTGTGATTTCTTTAAAGTATTTGACAATATTTAATTGTTATAGTTAAACCTTCAAAAATTATCCAAAAAAAAATTTAACACAATAAAGGTCCTATTACACTTTAGTTTTTGAATAGTAGTGGATGCCCTTGTCCTCACTGATTCGCTATTTTTATTTTAAGTTTTCATGGTCTGGTAACGAGACCTTACTGATTCTCTAATATTCATAAAAGAAAATACGACACACAAAGGGAAGTTTCTAGTCTGCCACTAGTGGTCATTAAATAAAAAGTACCTGGAAGACCGAGCTTTGCTCGGTTTTTTTTGGTAAATCATGTATTTTCGAAATAAATAAAGATGATCTGGTATAGAAAAAAAAAGTAAAAAAGAATGAATGTATAAATGTTCGTGACACGAACATTGGCCTTCTATACCGGGGCCGCCCCATTACCGACCGAGCTATTATAACATTTTTTTACGTCGAAATTTACCGTCATATTCGAATGATATTTTTCAATCCCTGGAAAACAGGCATGAAAGGACATTTTCTAAAAATGAAACCTAGTTAAATCGATTTTTCGCCCCCGAATCTACGCACATCATTTCATGAACATCGCTGGAGCGTTTCCGAGATTCCGATTATATATATATATATATATACAAGAATTGCTCGTTTAAAGGATAAGAAGATTAATTTACTATTACCACTAACGACGATAGCTATTGACATAAAACAAGAAATATTGGTATTCCGTCTGTGGGTGGACAGAATTAATTTTATATAGCGCCATCTCGTACATTTTTAAGGAACTAGCGTTGTTATTTTTCGATGTATGCCAAACCATAGGCACTCAAGACTGTGTGAGATGGCGCTATTTGATTTCATCTGATTACGGATTTTAACAAAAACTAAACGTACTTACAATTTAATAAGGCAATGAAAGAAACATTTAATTTAGATCGCGATTTGTGTCACAGCCTTTAACAACATTAGTTAATTCGCACTGTTAACCGTAACTCGTTTATAGAATATTAACCTAATTAATTAAGTACATAACATTCGAAACCATAACATTATTCAATGATTCATTTAAGTATTTATGCGAATATTATACCCACCGCAGTATATGCACGAGAGTGGACAACTAGTCGCTCTTTTCGAGCTTCTAATTGAATATTTTCAGAATCTTTCAGAGACAAAATTATTTTAGACGATAAATCGATGTGCGTCTCGTTACTTTGGTTGAGCTCAATTTTTTTTTTTTATTTTAATATTTGTTCTCCTGTAGTTTTCTCACAATTAAAATTCTCTGAGTGAAAATTAATAAATCTTGTCATTAATAATGATCGAAATACGTTTTTAAAAGCTTGACATTTTTTCTAAAACTACATGCCCAGATTTGACTCAAAAAAATTTCAATTGGATCTGAATTAAAGTAACGCGTACACATAATCTTAATGCCTTTTCAGTATATGACTGTGTTCATTCAGTATAAGATTTTGTTCATTGTTAAAATCATTTAATCTTTTAAACCTACAAGAATAACAGAGTCAAGTGCAACATGTATAGACAAGATTTTTACAGATGTCAAACCATTGCACAGATTAATAATTAATCATAAATTAAGTTTAGACCGTTCGGGGTAGTTTGTCACATTGACTCTGGTAAAATCCAAGGAAAGCTGTGTTTGTTTCGATAGACATATCAGAAGGAAAAGTTTAGAAGTAATTTAATAAAAAACCTTCCTATGCTGCCATACTATGACGTCATGATAATCTAAGTATGCTTTTTAGAGTTGTTATAAAAAATTTTTGAGAGGGCACAATACATTCTTATTACCCTCATTATTAATAATAAAAAAATTAATTCTTCCAAGTTTCTGACAGCATTTTTCAAAAGGGCTTCATGCATGAATGAACCAGTGGCAGCTTGTCTTAAAGATTTACCCTTGTTTTTCACTCTCATGAATTCACGCTCCATTACATGAATCAAATAAATCATCAAAAAATTATATCAATTCTGAAGGGTTTTTGTAACATTTTGCTCACTTCTCTTCCGTCTGCATGGTAAACTGTAAAATAAATACAAAATTGTAAAAAAATAGCTTATATTATTACAATGATAGTAACCAACTGCATGTTTTGTTACTTTTTTAATTGAAATTAAATTTATCTTTATATAAAGAACAATAATTTGCCTCCTCAGGGACAATTTTCAGCCATCATGATTACTTCTAAATACTGCTGAGAGCTATGAACTGTAAAAATTTTGGATTTGGCTAGAATTTTTTATAGGACGAGAGACCTAAAAGTCAGGTACTCGGGACCAATTGTACATCTGTATATATTAACCAAACATACAATGAAAACTTACAAAAGTTTGCTGTGTAACTTGCAACAGTTTTGCTTAACACACGGCTGCAATTTTTGACCTGAAAAATAAATGATAACATTTAGCCTTCATATTTTGCGATATACAGTGCATTTAATTAATAACGACCTCAGTTATAGCGACATTAGACTAAATGAATGATGTACTTGACTTTCACTAGATATAGCGACAACGTTAAAATGGTCCCTCCAACATCGTTATTATCTAAATCCGCGGTATTTAAATAATATTTACACAGCATTATATTGTTCATAATAATTAATTTCATCCATATTAACTTACTTTATTTTTTTAAATTATCTGTGGTATGACATGTTCATCATTTAACTTATGCAGCAAACGCATTTCTGTGTGCTTGCAGTCTGTAAGATAAACATCTACAATATCGCTCCATTTCTATGTTTTACTATTCTATAATACATATATTTTTATCTAGAAAATTATTCCTTAGCCCTTAGTGAGGTGAGGTGGATAAAACATTTTATGAATTTTTTCTTCACCTATCACAATTGTCCCATGTCAAATTTAAACAATTCAGGAATTATAAAATGACAATACTTTTTGTCTAATGAACTTTTTCACATCATATTTACATTTGTTTTATATAGACAAATGAATCAATATATAACAAGAACAACTTATGCTTTCAATATAAGTACCTATATTCTTATAAGTATTTAACTTAAATTATTTTATTTAATCAACTTAACAAGGTTTTCTTTTGCTTAAATTTGCTTTTTTCTGGTGTCTTCCCTTAATTATTTATTGTTGACTGGGAAGCTGTTCACTGATCAGATATCAGTGCCACAGGAATTAAACCTATTTTTTGTACTTCTACTATAACTTCCTGTAATATATATTTTTAGGTACTTGTGCTGGTGTAGCTCCTTCACAAAGATAAAAAGTTATAGGCTATTGCAATTTGTGCACAGCACCTCTAAGAAGTGACACTAACAATCAGTTCATTAGTTTTCTTTTTTTTTTTTTTTTTGAAAACATTGCCATTACTTTAGGATAATATTATCCTGTGTTGTAATGACGTTTTACAAACAAAAATTTCACGCAGACAAACACCCAGATGCGAAACAACTATCTCTGGGTCACACAAATAGTTGTCCCGTGTGGGAATAGAACCCACGACCCCTGACGCCGAAGCCAATACCTTGGCAACTGCACCACGGAGTCATCAGTTTTGCTTCAGCAACTTCTTTAATTTTGCTTTGTAGCTTGATAAGTCCACAAATATTGTCATTGTATTTGTTGTATACAAGACCTGGCTCTAGTGAGACTTCATCAAATATCATTGAGCAATATTTTTTTTGACTCTTGCCAATTTTGAATGAAAGAATTATAAAAAAATATATTATGTTACGGATATTAACTTTCAATATATTGGAAGTAAAAGTGAGTGTTAATTATACAAACCTTCAGTTTTAATTGCATTAAATATATGAGTTTGTTAATAACTTTGTTAATTGTCCGTATGGATGGAAGAATAAATATTTTTCATAGAAATCTGATTTTTGGCCTTTGTTTCATTATAGCAAGTGCAATAATTTTTTCCTCCATAATAAATCTCCATTGTTTGGACTGTTTACTGCATTCTGATATTTGCATCCATATTAATTTTTTGGCAAGTGGATTGAGGCTTTTAGTAATTTTCTCAAAGTTTACTATCTTGGAAAATTTCACAGCTCTTTTAGTTTTTTTAGCAAAATTTTATTGCTTTTTTATATTGATTTAATATTTTCTGACATGTTGGGGTCAAACTTGTTTCATGGATTTCTTATGTTTTACCACCACATTACCAAATTGCGGCAAATCTGTTAAATCAAGAGTTTACTGGTTATTACATTATATACCAAGATAGTAATCTTTTTAAAAATATAAGCTTGGCCTAAAGACGTAAACAAATTAGATTTTTGAATTTATTTATATTTGATATACCCAAGTTCAATCCCAGGAGAAAGACTTGCCAAGGAGTACAAAACTTATGTACATTGCATATTGTTGGCTTGGACAATAAGATGTCGACAGGCTCACCACTGGTGACATTGCCCAAAAAAATCATGGTAAAACGGGGGTCGAGGACCAAATTTTCTAGACAACTGTCTACCATGTTAGATATGTGTGCAGAAGTTATGTAGATAATTTGACAGTTACCTGCTACAATTAGTTGTAGTTTAGTTTTGCCACTAACAGTTTCCTCTGAACTTATTGTGATGGATGGCACAGTAGCCGAAAACAATAAAATTAAAACTTAAGTACCACTGTCATCAAAGCTCTAATGTACATATTTATATTTTTGCCAAAACCTTCAAAAAGAATCATGGTTGTAATTTACAATTGTTTTTCAGAGGTTTTACTACAAAATTAATTGTGCTCATAGAAAAATAAAATTTTCATTATATGAATTATGTATGATTTTCTCAAAAATCATTTAATTTCTTTAAAAGCGAGTGCTATTCTTATGATCAGATAGCAAATCTCTATCAAATTCAACACTTTCTCCCTCAAGTTTGTTTCAAATAATTGGCATTTTTGTGTTTTACTATTAAGGTTATAATCATTTTCCTATTCTCCAAAATGGTGCATTACCTTTTAATGCATTGATTACAGTTTGGATGTAGATGATACATTAAAATCTGAAAGTTAGAATATAAATTGGAAAATTTGGCAATATCTCTTATTGATTAATCATCATTAATTAAAAATAAAAAGTGAAGTAAATTTATTCTACTTAAATCTAAAAGTAAAAAAGTAAAGGATTAGCGTATTGATGTCCCACTGCTGGGCAAAGGCCTACTCTGTACAGAGGTTATCAGGGCATAGTCCACTACATTGCTCCACTTCAGATTGGCGGACTTCACATTTCTTTGAAATATTTTTTTATTGTTATTTTCGAAAATATGCAGGTTACCTCACTATGTTTTCCTTCACCGCTGAGCTTGTCATAATTCAGCACTTGAAATTAAAAATTCCATTGGTGTCTGCACCAGGGATCGAACTCAGGTTGCTCGAGTATATTTAATTAAAGGTGAGCACCAGGCACTGAGCTGTCACAGCTCTCTAAATATAACATAAATAAAATAAATATGATAAACAATGCAAAACTGTATTACAAGAAATATTTCTAATAAAATTAATAACTACCTAGTGATTTCGATGTTTGAGTTTTACAGTAGGTATGCTCTTCATGTCTTCTTTTCCTTTGTTCAGTGTAATCATGATCACGAACACTTTGATTATCTGAAAAACATTTTTGTTCAAATTATGGAAGATAAACGGAGGAAGTCATTGAGGTAGTACTAATTATTGAAAATTTAAGAATTTTAATAAATGTGTTTTTTAATAAGTGAATAGTTTAGTTTTTCTGGCGGAAAGTGGTGTGAAGTTATTTTAAAATTATATTATATACAAAACTAAGTGCTGCGCCTATTACTATAAAGTGACTTACCAAAAGTCTCGTACTCAACAGCCGGTATTCCAGACTGTATTTCATTATTCGAAAGTAGGGTAGGATACGCAGAATGCCGAAGACGCAAACTGCCAGTAACAAATCTCTGCTCAAAGTGCTTGTGACACACAAACGATTTTTGTAGCTCATCTACACCAAGCTTCTTTAAGCTTGTACAATTTACAAGTTCCACCCACTTCAGTCTTATCTCTGTCTTTGGAAAACGATGTAACTTAACACTACTTCGCTTGCTATCGCAATCTGGAACGCAACAGGTATTCTTCATATTTAAGAGTACTCCAGTACCACGATTATGAATTTGAGATAATAACCACGGAGTTTAAGACTTAACGTAACTGCACTTTCAGATATACAAAAGTACTCTTTGCTTCACTCGATCAAATCCAAAACCGGAGGTAAAGTTCTTCAGTCTTCTTCTTCTTCTAAGGCAGTTTTCGATCCATATGATATCGCCAATGATACAATCATGAAAGTTGAAAGATATAAATTCCAAAATATTCTCTAAAATGGATAAATGTTTATTTTTCAGAAGGTAAAGTTAAAGTAGTACTTTAAAAGTACTATAAATAAGGGATGCCGAAAAGATATCGACATATCGATACATCGATATTTTTTAAAAATATATCGATAATTTTGGCCGATATATTTTATTCCGATACATCGATGTAAAAAATTGAATGTCGAAATTAAATCAAAAACGATATTTTTATTGAAACAGTCAAAGCCGTAAAATATAAAAATTTACGAGAAAAAAAATTGTAGTCTATGACTAGTATTGTCGCGGATGCAGTGATGTATTTTGTACTATAATTACGGTATTTATACTACAATTTCATGCTTCGTACTAATGTACGAAGAATGAAATTGTTGCTATTTTATAATCAAAACGCGCTAGTTAATGATATACGGAATTTATTTACACTATATCATGTAGTTACCATGGTTCCCTAGTGGCGGTTTACATAATTTTATTTTCTTGGTACTATAGAACCCGATGGCTTTCTGGGTGGTATTAAAGAGGGCTCGGATGGGCGCCTTATCTACTCTTAATTTAAAATAGAAAACACATGTCATGTTGGCATAACCATACACCAACGATTGAGGATAATTACTATCCATATAAAAGGGACAACATGATAGAGGTGTTACAAATCATAAATTATCATGAATGCAAAATATTAATAGCATCAACTAAAGTTACTTTAATTTAATATGTAAATAAAATGAATAAAAATTTAATTATAATTAAATTCTCAATAATTAAATGTCACACTTACATAATATAATATCGAGTTTTCATACGTCATAAAAAATTTTTATCACATTATGTAATCACATTAGGTAACTTTTTGAAATTGTCATTCAGCATTGTCATGTCAATCACACAACTATTACTAAATTCTGCTGAGCCTGTCTTGTTCCTAGTCAGATAATAGCTACCGATCAAGCCGAGGTCCAGCCCTCTCAGGCACCCTCGAATCGGAATGCTAAACGCGTGCTGAGTGACAGCCCAAGCCCAAGGTCCCCTCTCAGGAACCCTTGAGCTTGATCACTCCATGGAGCGCCCGCCAAAGCGCCCTAAGAGCTTGGCGGCCTCCCAAACCGGTGAAAATAATAGCGTGATGGCCCGAGCCGTGGTTGCCTCGGGAGCCCTCGAGCTTAGTCACCATAACGCGTAATAATAATACGCAAGGTTCAGGCTAGGCGCCTCGAGCGCCCGGCCACCTCAAGTCCGTCGGATCTGTAAAGGTCCCTAAGGCCATCAGTGGCTCATTCAGCCAAAAAAAAACTGTCTTGTAAGACAAGTCTGTGCGGGTTTCTTTTTGACCCATTATTAACTTCGTTATAAACAATGTTAAAAAAAATTATGTTTTTTTTACAAAGTTACACGTTTGTCAATATTTATTTTTTGATTCGTTCTGCGCGCAATGACGTTGTAATAATTTTCATTATTTTTAAGAATCAGACACGAAATAATTGGAATAAGTAACGAAACATATAAAAAACAAATATAAAAAGAAACATACCTACCTTTAAATTCATTGTCTTTTTCCCACTTAGCTGCACATATCCGAAGATGTGCATAAATGTAGCTAAGTGATGCATGATTTTTGAACATATCCGAATGCAATTTTCTCACCCTTTGGCATTTTATATTACTTATTAAATAAATTTAATGTATTATGTGTAGACGTATATTCACAATAAGAGTTTATGGCGGAACAATTAAAAATACTACATAGGCCAATGCAGCCAACACTAGTCACTGTTATATACAATATACAACGCTGCCAATACTATATTTGGTGTTTAAAAATGTGTAGTTTTTTTTTTTTCAAAAATGTTAATATTATATTATATATTTTATGTCTTATTTAAGCATGTCACTGACAGACATTCCTGAACACAAACGGAAGGAAAAGGAAAAACTATAATAAAAAAAAAACAGTGTGTGTGTACTTATGTACACGCGTTAGAAGTTATACTTCTTTGGCGTAACAAGATGAAAATCTCTAACAATCGTAAAAATGTATTCTCATCATTTCTCAAATCTCTAAGCATCGTAAAAATTTACTCTCATCATTTCTCCTTTTATTTGAAATAATTTTCTATTTAAAATAATTTTTTCTCCTCCATCCCCGGCTTAACATTGTTCTTCGAGTAGTCTTTAATAATAATAATATAATAATAATAATAAAATATCTTTATTCACATAGACGCTTGCGCGTTCTTCTGAAACGTCAAAATTTTACAAGAAATTAACACGTTCGTAAGTTACCACCGGTTCGGAAAGCAGTTTCTGTTGAGAAGAAACCGGCAAGAAACTCAACAGTTGCTCTTTTTTAAAAAATCAGTTTACAATATAATAGTACAGGTACAATAGTCTTGTTTTAGCCTACGTGAGTATCAACAGTATTAACCCCACACATTGGCGTCGTCAAGATATTCGGCAATAGTATAATAGGCTTTAGCCATAAGTGTACTTCTAATTTTTCGTTTAAATTCATCAAGTGGCAGACTTAACATCGACTGTGGGATTTTATTATACATGCGCACACTTTGCCCCATGAACGATCTGTTTACTTTTTGTAGACGAAATAATGGCGTAGTTAGTTTGTCCTTATTTCTAGTATTTAGTTTATGTCTGTCACTATTCTTTTGATAATTATTAATATTCTGTTTAACATACAAAATATTACAATAAATATATTGAGACGCAACAGTGAGTATATTAATCTCTTTAAAAAGATCTCTGAGTGTATTCCGGGCTCCGATGTTATAAATTGCTCGGACAGCTCTTTTTTGAATAATAAATATTGAATTTATATCAGATGCACTACCCCACAACAAAATGCCGTACGACAAGATGCTGTCAAAATAACTGTAGTAAACAAGTTTGGCAGTGTCGATGTCTGATAGCTGCCTAACCTTCCTAATTGCAAAAACAGCGGAGCTTAACCTATTCGCAAGAGATGATAGATGGGGACTCCATTAGAGCTTTGAATCTACTGTGATTCCCAAGAATACAGCGGACTCAACAGGATTAAGGGTTACGCTATTCAATTTTAAGCTAAAACTTTGCCTTCTTACGTTGGGAAGGGCAAAAAGAAGGCATTTAGTTTTTTTAGCATTTAACACCATATTGTTGCAAATTATCTTACTAAATTTCATAAGATCTGGAAATATTCCAGAATCTATGCAGTTGTTAAAAATATTAGCTAAATGTGGTGCAATATATGGCATTATTGTGGTCATTAATTTTATGGACATGCCCCATAAATCCCCTGTATTCTTAAGATTAATAGAATTCAAAACTTTTATAATATCATAAGTATCTACGTGATTAAATTTAAATGTGTGTGGACAAAAGGTAACATTATTTCTTAGAACGTTAATTGCATCTATGGGAGATGATTTTAGTGTACATGTGACATTAACTGCAGTTTCTGAAAAATAGCTTTCAAAACTACTTGCAATTTCATTATCTGATGTTATGGGAGTATTACCTATAACCAGTTTTATAGGTTCCCTGAATATCTTGGGTCTTCCAGATATACGGGTAATGATGTCCCATGTGGCTTTAATTTTATTGTTTGAATTTATTATTCTATTTCTTATATGAATCGATTTTGCCTGAATACAGACTTTTTTTAAATATTTTTGAGAACATTTGTACCCTTTTATGAAAGTTGGGGTCATGATTCCACTGCCTCATATTATATAATTCATACAGTGAATCCCTACTTTTATATATACCCACTGTTGCCCAGTCACTAAATTTTAATTTTGAATTTTTAACAATTAATAAATAGTCTTGCTGCAATAAGTAATAAAAATAAGAAATGTCATATTCTAAACTACCGTTTGTCGATAATACGGTCGTATTTTTTCTTATAAGATAAAATGCCGTGAACGTAATGATTCAAAAACGACCAGGCGGCAGGCACACGACTAATATACTCGTGTAGATCTAGCTTGCATTCTGTGGAAACACCGGTAGTCATACCAGAAGCTTGTAGGACAAAGGTCTTAACAGAACTCCATGAGGCGCACATGGGTATTGTAAAAACCAAATCTTTCGCTAGGAGCTACGTATGGTGGACAGTGATGGACGAGGCCATTGAGACCATGTGTTGGGGATGTCGGGTGTGTACGGCAGAAGGAGACACACCACAACGAAATGTGCCCTATCCATGGTTTTGGCCGGATAAGCCGTGGGCCAAAATACTGTTTGGGCCAAAATTTATATTGATTTATTAGGATCAATCGTAGGTAAAATCTTTTTAGTTATTGTTGATGCTAGAACAAAATGGTTGGAAGTCGCTGAAGTACGTAGCACAGCGGCAGCCCACACGATCACAGTTTTGAGTGACGTGTTTGCACATTTTGGGTTACCGAAACAAATTGTTTCCGATAATGGCCCTTCGCTTACAAGTTGCTATTTGTCATCAGCCTTGAACATATATTTTCAGGGCCTTACCATCCTGCATCAAACGGTGCAGCTGAAAATGCAGTCAGAATAATTAAAAAAGTTATTAAGGGTTTCTTAAGAACTTTTTTAGGTTAGGGAAAATTTAAACATTACCTAATCTTTAAATAAATATTTACTGTATTATAGAAATACAGAACATTTTACGACGAAGGAAACGCCGGCATTATTAATAGTTGGAGGTTGCGTACTAAGTTAGATGCACTAATACCGAATAGAGACATAGTTAGGAAAGCTATAAAGCGTCAGCAACAAAATGTCACCGGGCGACACGT